ATGGGTCATTCACAAGGACCCTCTGCTTCAGCTGCCCTGTTTATACTCACACAGGACTTCCCATGCTCACTGTTTCCTTGAGTGCATGAATATCTATCAATCTATCAAAAACACAGACCCAACTCTATGTTCTCTGCTTGGAAAGCACAATACAGGCAGAATATACAAACAAGATCATTCCAGTTGAACTTCCAAAGAGCTTCCATCAAATGACCAAAAGCAAGAGGTTTTCCTACCCACTAACCCAGGGGGTTGGTGTGTTTGCAAGCTGTTACATCTCTGGAGGGGAAAAGCCCCAGTCTGTAAGAAACTAGTACAGCAAACCCAGCTGGTTGCACAACAACTATTTTAATGAAAGAGAGTGGCAGCACCTGGAAAGCCAGAGCTGTGAGCTCATCTCTATTTCCTGGATGCATCTCATGTAAAATGATGAGGAGGTCAGGGGGGGCCCAGAAGTCAGGGCATGCTGGGCAGGGCACACCAATGGCCCTGGGACATGTGGCAGCTGCCAGGAGACAGGACACCCCTCACCTCCAGCACAGGAGACAGGACACCCCTCACCTCCAGCACAGGAGACAGGACACCTGTCACCTTCAGCACAGGGGACAGGACACCTGTCACCTCCAGCACAGGAGACAGGACACCTCTCACCTTCAGCACAGGGGACAGGACACCTGTCACCTTCAGCACAAGAGACAGGACACCTGTCACCTTCAGCACAGGAGACAGGGCACCTCTCACCTCCAGCACAAGAGACAGGACACCTGTCACCTTCAGCACAGGGGACAGGACACCTCCCACCTTCAGCACAGGGGACAGGACACCTCTCATCTTCAGCACAGGGGACAGGACACCTCCCACCTTCAGCACAGGAGACAGGACACCTCTCACCTCCAGCACAGGGGACAGGACACCTCTCACCTCCAGCACAGCTCTCTCCCTATCAGGGTCTCAGCTCTGCTCCACCTTGGCAGTGTCTCCCGAGCCAGGGCAGAGGCTGGGCTCTCACAGCACCTCCATGAAGCATCAGTCCACAGGGAAATCAGTCTGGGCCTCCCTTCAGATAAAGACAGTATGTTCAGACTGTGCAAAATCTTCGTTTGAAGGAGTGGATACTCTATTTGGAAGTATCTTTGAGCAGAGGGATGGCAGCAGCAGATGTCTGACCAAGGCAGAAGGGCCCACAGTACAGTACCAGCACAGTACAGAGCTCTGGGGGTTCCTGGGGGCTCTTACAAATGCTTTGAAGTATTTAGGAGACAATCATGAATTAACACGGTCTCTTTGCCACACACACTTCAGATTAATGTGATTTTCTTTGATACAGTGCCTGGCACAGTGGATAAAGGAGCAGCAGCAGCAGATGGAACATGTCTCAGTAAATGATACTGCCCCACACTTTATTCTCATACACAAAACGCTGTCAGGGCAGCTGATGTTAATCAATATGAAATAGGTGAAAAACTTGCTTGGCAAGAAGTGTTACAAAAGCCCTCTTGGGCTTAGTTGTATTTGATATTTTCATTCATAGTTTGAATGATAAAACAAAAGGTAGCTTGTAAAGGTTGCAGATGCTGCCTCCAGGCATCCTCGTGGACAGGACTAAAATCCAGAATGAGTGTGAGAAACTGGAAGATGGATCCAAAAATCAATAGACTAAAATGGAAAATGAGTCCAGTACAAATTGCTTCTTTTAGGGAGGAGAAGTGAGTTGCACAAGTGTGAACAGGACATAAAGGCAGTGGAGGCTGTGAGGCCCAAACTCATCCCAGGCTGCTCCTGGAGCTGCAGGTGGTGCTGGTGTGGGCAGTGGTGATATCTCACCAGGGCTGCTGGGGATCTCCTTCTGTGATCCCCCAGACCTTGGCAGGAGCATCCTCTGCAGCTGAGCAGGCTGTGTGCCTAAGCATGGCATAAGGATTCAGACAAAAAACCTCATCATCCTCAAAAATGCTACTGCAGGCAATTCTACTGGAATTATTGTTTAGGATTTTAGACAGATCCCTGAGTATATTTGAAGATATTTGAGTATATTGTTGAAGAGGCTGGGCTACATGACTGCTTGTGTTACTGCAGCCTTACCATGCCATGCTGCTGCCAGTGGTGCAACTATTATGGAATTTTTGCTACAATTTGCTTAGGCCAAATATCATTGTAAAGATTAGGACAGGAGAAGTGAACGAAATGGAGATTTCTTAAATGCTACTGCAGGCAATTCTACTGGAATTATTGTTTAGGATTTTAGACAGATCCCTGAGTATATTTGAAGATATTTGAGTATATTGTTGAAGAGGCTGGGCTACATGACTGCTTGTGGAACAGAGATCCAAGCTGCCCAGCTGGAAAGAGATTACTCAAGTGCTCTAGGACAGAGCCTGTCTCTCTCTTTGACCTGGACAAGGTGAGAGATGATTATCACTGCCTCTCCTGCTGCAAGCAGCAAAGGTGTGGGGGACAGCAATGAAGCTGAAGGAAGAAATTTTTCTTGCTGCTTGTGACTGAATCAGGCAGCCTGCTGTGTACTAGAAGTTTAAATGGATCCAAAACAACATGGGAGATGTCTGAAGGAAATAGATGGAATGCTGGAGACAAGCACAACCCCTCCCTCTGGGAAGGCCAGAGCTGCAGAGAGCTGGGGGCTGTGGACCCTGCAGGGGCCACCTTGCCATGTAATGTGTGTCTGATAATCCTCTTTTCCTAAACATATGCTGTAGGTCACTGCTGGAGACAGGAGCACAGGCTGGCCTCTCCCTTCACTAACCTGCTTATGTGAAAGCCTGAGGCTTATTTCTGCTTCTCCACAGAATGCTGAACTAATACTTGAGAAAAAACTCAGTTTTCCACCAAATAGTGCACTTGTACAATGAAATTAAAAACAGTTTCCCTTTGGGATAACTACTTGAGTTTGTTTAGTGGCAAACTTTGGCAGAGCTGTTTCCAAACTGAAGATCCTGAAGATTTGATTTTGCTCCTAAGTCAGAAGCCAGGCTCTTTCCACCTGGCTAGTTGACACTGAGAAATACTTTTATTTCCAGAAAGCTGACAAGACGTGCAGGTCACTGCTGGGCCTTGTGAGATGCATGAATGAGGACTACACAGCAGCCTGGAAAGGACTGGGTGAGCAGGACCATGGACTGGGAGAGCCAAGGATGGAGCCCAGACTGCCCAAAAGGCCCCTGTCACTCACTGCAGGCTGTCCTGGGCTGGGCTGGCAGCCACTCCCCTCGAGCTGCTCTCACAGTCCTTTTCTAGATCTGATGCTTTCCTGGTGATCTGCTTTGCTCTGGGTTGACAGAGGGCATTTCTCTTCCATAGACCATTTCCCAGGACTGATAGATTCTGCAGTTTGGGCTGGAATGGAATGCACACTGAGGCATCCTGTGCCAGCACGGGCCCTGGGCTGCAAGGGGCTGTGCATTGGCTGCTTGCTGCTGTACAGCCTCTGCTCAGAGGGGTACCTGATGTTCCTGCTCCTGCTAATCCCCAGGAAATGACATTTGGACCCTCATTATTTGTGCTCCACTTAGAAATAAACCACCAGAGGAAGAATACAAGTTCAAAAAAAAATTTCTTAATTTATTGTAAATTCTCCTTTCATCTGTGCTGCAATTCCAGTGTTCTGCACATTAATAAATATACATTTGTTAAAAAAAAAACAAACTTCCAGTGTCTAATCTGCCATAAAGCTTTTAAAAAGTCATAAAAATAGGTTTTAATTTTTTTGTCATTAATTCAACTGACCCTCATTTACTGCGACAATTCTGATCAAAATAAAAACTACCTACACCTACTGGGACAAAATATACATACACAGATGTAAGAACAACTAGCATGGGTTATACACAATGCCTGAGCACACAGCCAAGTGCCAGACCCTTAAAACATTCAAATTTTTTTTCTGTCAGAAAATGTCACACAGGATGTTGCATAATTTTTAAAGGAACTGCATCTTTCCTCCCTCTTCCCTTCCAAAGGCCTCCTTGATACTTTGAGAATGCATAGGAATATAATGAAACCCAGATTACAGTATACAGTTTCTCATCTTCTCCTCAACTCCTGCATTTTATTTAGCCCCATTTTCTGTTTCTTCTCTTTCACACACATTTGCACAAACAATAGCCAGTATTTTCCCAGAAGGGCTGCTGTGGTGAGCAAGGAGCTCCTGAGAGCCTTGCTGGCAGAGAGCAGGCACAGGCACACCATTGTCATCCTTGTATTCCCACCATGGGAGCCACTGGCTGAGCTCTGCCTCACTGTTGGATGAAATCTTTTTCACATCTTACTTTTCCTCTTTCTGTAAACATTGCAGGAAGGTGAAGACAGCAGACAGGTCACGCTTAACCTTCCTATGCCTGTGAAACCAGCCCATTTTGTGGGAAACATGAAACCTTAAGCCTTCCATGAGCTTTCTGAAATATCAAGAAAGCCAGGGCTTTGTCAAAGAGCTGGGCAGACAAATCTGGACATCTTTTAAGTCTTGTATTTCTGCTTTGATTAGCGATGTGCTGAATCCAGTGAGCATGAAAGAGGAAAAAATATTGCACCTGAGGCAGAACTTGACCCATGGGAGGAGGGCCCTCTCCTTGAGACATGCAGAGTGCTGGTTTGTTGCACAGCCATACAATCACACCAATTATTATCTTGTTCTTAGTAAGGGAAATACTGATTTGACTTCTTCCAGACAAGGACTGTGTTGAACCTTTACACAAAAATATGTGTAGACCTGAAGTTCAGTTCCTGAACACTTCAATGCACTTGTGAGAAGAGATCAAAATACCAAAGAATGAAAAAAAAAAAATTTTTGTGGGTTTTAGAAGAGGTTATGAGAAAAGCATACTATGCCCTCAATGTGTTCTAAAATCTGTTAACAAAACTTATAGTAATGGATTTTGATGTAGTCTTTACTGTATTACTTTGAAATCTGCATTGTGTCTGAAGGTGGCTTCCATGCAAACCTCAGTTACTTATCAAACGCCAAATTCAAGTAAAATTGTGCAATGTTCATATAAAAAATATCAAAACATCTTTTTAATTGATTTCCTATTATCAAATTAAGAAGATCAGTATAAATGTAAAATATACAAAGGAGCTTTTTCTTTAGCAACACCATACAAAATATATAAAAGTATCTACACTTTTTATATATATATATAAAGGATTTTTTTTCTTAAGACGACGTGTCCATAGAGGGGTGGACAGAGATGCTGGCATAGAAACCAAAGGACACTTGTTGCAATTTTCCTCCCTAGAGCTCAGCAACCTCAAGGGTTCACTCTGTAGCCATCAAAACTCCACAAGAGACACCTCCTAGTGCTTGTCTTCAGGCTTATTGTAGGTCCACTAGGAAGCAATGTGTTCTTCCTTGGTTCTCCCCTGTAACAAGCAAGCCCTGCAGCACTGCCTGCTCCGTGCACAGGTATCTGTCCATCACAGTGCACCCCGTTTCCATTTCCACGTTTTCAGCGTGGGTTCCCGTGGGAGGCGCGTACCACACAGAGCCCTTATTGCCAGGGCAGCCAGGCACTGTGTCTGTGCCAGGAGCAGTCAGGATCCTGCCAGAAGGTGAAGCCATGTGGGAATGGATGCCCACCTCACCCTCCTCACCGTGTGGCCACTCTGATGGAGTCCGAAGCGGCAGCGCGGTGAGGGGTTGGAACCGTGCAGAGGCGATCACAATTTCCTGATGGTTCAAATTGAAGTTTCATTACTGCCGCTGTTAGTGAGAGAAGTGATTGTGCAGGCTTAGGGTTAAACAGGCACAGGCAAACCACTCCACCCAAACCCAGCTAATCCTTCTTAGAAAGGGCTGGTGCTCTGTGAAGTTACCATGCTTGCAAGGGGGATGCTGTCCTGAAGGGAAAGACTAGCTGGGAGAAACAATTTCAGGCAGTACACAACAGAAATGCTTTAGTGAACTTCTACATAGGGCTTGCATTTGTCTAATGCTTTGCTGAGGATACAAGGTTCACACACAGATCTCACAAGCTGCTAGAAGCCTGGTGTATCAAATGGATTCATGCAATCTGCTGCCAACAGCAGAGCTTTCCATTATGCCAAAGCTCTGGAGATAACACAGTTGCTTAGTACAAGCTGGTGAGTTATTGTCCAGTAATGACTGTGTTACCTGGTAGCAGCTTATTCAGTTATGGCTTATTCAAAACATCCATGTTTCCTGGCTAACTAGGATCTACTTCATCAGCCAACTCCCAGCAATCCAAAGATGTGCTTTTATAGTGAGGTGGGAATGGTCTGTGCACGAGACAACAGGGGTATTTAAAGCCTGGTGAGACAGTGCCAGAGTTAAAGCTGGGTGAGAAATTTTCTTTTGGTTTGGTGAAAGAATAAGACTATTATTCATGTTAATAAAAAATGAGACTATCTGCATAAAATGCCTGCAGAGACTTTACACATGGCTGTTGTCATAATTTGAAACACAAGAATTATGATGAGTAATGAGGTTTCTGAGCATTCCCTTTGGCTGAGAGCTTGCTCAGCCTTTTGTTTATATTTGATTTAGTTTACAGTGGTAAATTCACACACTGATTGCCATGCAGCCGGCGGCAATCAGACGCCTGGTAATTTAGGATCAGTAGCTTGGTGTTCTCTCCAGCCTTGGGGTCTCCTGCCTCAGCCATTGTTTCCCTCTGCCCAGATGGATGCTCACACCATGCCCCCCACAGCCTCGTGCCTTTCCCTACCCAATTCTCGCAGGGTGGCAGGGCAGAGCAAGGCTGCTTCTGTCAAAGTGTGCCAGTACCACATCAGCCTGCCAGTTCAGAGCATGCCAGGGTGACCCAGTAGCAGGTGTCTGTCACAGCACCTTGCCCATGATACCTGTTTGGCCTTCTCATGACTGAAACCTCATGGCCTGGGGACATGGTATGGGCAAACCATCAAGGCAGTCACTGGTGAAGGACTCTGGCCAGTCACCAGAGGAAAGTTTTGTTCATGTGTGAGTCTGGGGTTGGAAGGTGAAGGGGGAGGTCATAGGAGGTCAGCCAGGGCATCCTGACGTGGCACTTACTCTGAGTCTGAGGTGTCAGCATGTCCTGTTGCCACGTGGAGGCTCATGGCCATGCCGTTGAGCTGATCTCGAGACTGCTCCCTCCGAACATTCTTCACCGTTACCCCTGAGTCCGAAGGAGAGCGGAGCCCCTCATTGGTCCCTAGGGAAGTAGTCCTGGATGAGACTGTGCTCTGATTGTAATCCGACAGCTTCTCCCGCAAACGATTCTTCATATTCTTATCCACCAGTGGGGGAGGGTAAGTAACTTTATTTTTTAAGATGCCTGTGAAGGAAAAGAGGAAATAATAAAATTTTTTAAAGTGTATCAGTGATTTAATTTATCAAGCTAAGCTTGATGTTACAGTCTCTATTTCTTACTAAGACTTCTAAACTGGCACTTCATTTCATAACCAACAGATCAGACTACAGCAACTACCTACTAGCTTCCCATGGTGTATCTGGCTACACACGTTGGAGCCATTTGGAAAGTATTTTTCCCTGACAGAGCTACATTTTAAACTAATTAATGCTCATTAACCCCCCAGTCTTCCAATCCAACTGTGAGGCTGGGTTGGCTGTGCTACCTTTCCTCTGTTCCGGCTGCTGGTTATTCTGGTGGGCCAGAGGTCTGTTCTCCTTCTGCTGCCCTTCGTTCTCCTTGTCCTGGGGTGCTTCATTGCTGTGGTTCACCTGGTTTTCCCTGTGAAGCTCTACGTTGACCTTGGTCTCTACTTTGAGTTTTTGTTTCCTACCGGGGTCCTCACCATCGCTGGTTGTTACGCACTCTGTGGGCCAATAGGGTTTCACATGATTGGGAAGGGTATCAACTGCAATGCAAAAAAATACTAGCTCAAAAAACACTTTTGAAATCTTCTCTCAACCACTGCCTGGCCTCTGTGGCTGGAGAGGGGCTGTGTATCAAACCAGAACAATCTTTCAGTCAGTCCTTGATGGACTGCACTGCTCTCGGGGTGCATTAAATCCCCAAAAATCACCTGGTAGGATGGCAAACCCTTCTCAGAGTGAGGTTGCCAGCTCAATTATGGAGAAGTGTAAGGCAAACCCACCCTCTCAGCTCTCCAGGGTCAGAGATCCCTCCTTGGAGAGGTTAGTTTCTGAAGGCTGAGGGCACCCCAGGCACCCTGTGCTGTATCTCTGAAGTTCCACAGCACACACCCCGGATGTTTGTCATTCAAAGTTGCCTTTCATTAGGAGAGGACCAACTATGTTTAGAAATGCCTGCACCCTGACCCACAGAAATTATATTAATGGTCAGTGATTGCCAACTCTTTAGGTCCAGGACCTCCCCAACGCCAATGCCTTTATTGCATGAGGAGAGGCAGGCATTTCTTCCCCCTGCCCTCAAAAAAAGTGGCTTCTTTCTCCTCTTTTTCATATGAGATTTTGCTGACTTGGTAATACCTTGTCCAAGTGCTTTGGGGACCTGCCTGCAAAGCTGCCTGCCTTAAGGCATTCAGCATTCCGTGCAATTCTGTGTGATTCTGTACTCAGTCACCCCTGTGAGCAAGGCTTTGGAAGAAGAAAGGTCTCTAAGCTGGAAACAACAAGGATCTCTATAGAAGCAAGGGACACAGGTAGAGATGCTGCCTCAGTCACATGGTAGTGTGACAAATTTATCCCATCTAATCTAAAGCTATTTCAGAGCACCACTGCCCTCCCCTCGCACTGGGGGTACCTTTGGGTGTGCTGTGGAGTGGGCCATGTTCATTGTTTTTGGAAGTAGATGTGTTCCACTTCTTCTCTGTCTCGAGCCCATCCTCCTCGCTGTCGGATGAATGGGAAGAGGCGTAAGAGCTGCTGTGTTCATCGAGGGACAGCTCGCTGTCAGAGTCTGAGTCGTGCTCTGCAAATGTGCATGGGAAACACAGGGGTGACAGTGTAAATGGGAGTTCAACAAATCTACCTGACAAATGCACAAGAGAAAGGAAAGACAGGCATTGGTCCAGACCATGACAGGAATGAGCTCTTACATCTGTAATACATAGGATAAACTCAGAAGGACTACAGCACAACCACTGGGAAGCACAACCACTCAGCTCAGCTAGTGGGCAGGACCTTTTACACGTACAGGATGTGCAGAACAGAGTGGGAACATATTTTTCCCTATTTAACATACAGAACAGTAACTCTATTGGATCTCATTGAACACAACACACAGGAAAAACAAGATATCTAGAAATACCAAGAATCTGAAATGAACTTAACTTAAAAACTGCTACAAGGAAAAAAAATTGAATGCCAAGACCAAAATGAAAGGAAATCAGACAAAAGGTACTTCTCATTTTTTTGTACAAACCACAGAGCAGTAAAGGAGAATATTGCCTCAAGGTCTCAAACATTAAAATTTCTCCAACTAAAAATCAAGTGCAACAGTGAATAATTTGTGAGAAAGAGACTCCATAAACTGTCAATAGCTGGTGCAGCATCAGATAGAAATTAAACCATCACAAGCAGCAGCTATATGATACTTTCATTCCAGGATTTCCTTGCAAGGGAACCACTGCACAGCGTGTTTTGCCAATAGCATAATGAGAATGAGACCATCTAATTATTTCAACTATTCTTTCTGTTACAGAAGACTTCAAAGAAAGTGATGAGAAGAAGGTGCACAAATGGGTCAAAGCATTCAGAAATTATTCTTTTATTCTTACCATTGGATTTGGATGGATTCCTATGAAAAATGGAGGAATCTGCTTCGGTCTGACCAGCCCTTGCTTGACTTGAGGATCCACTGAGTTTATGAGCAGCCTCATCCCTTTGAGAAGAAAAATAGAGAAAAACAACCTTCTTGGTCACTTTACTTTGTTGTTTTTAACAACAAGGCAGACATACAGACAGCTGCTGTTGCACAGTCACTTTACGGTGAGACAGAGGTTATCCTGATGTGGCTATCTGCCTTGTGCCACATGAATCACACTCTGAAAAAGCCCAAAGCTAATGAGCTAAACTGTGCTCCTTGAGACACAGCTGAATTATAACAGGCAAGCAGCAGGGCCCATATAGGTAACATCACTCTTAGGTTAACCACTGCACTGCTGGAACCCTGCCCCAAAGACACATGCAACAGAAAATGCACCAAGGAGAACAACAGTCACACGAAACAGAACTGTTAAGACATAAACCAAGTAGCATTTGAACCAGAGCTCTGGTTTCCACAACAGCAATAAAAAAAGGAAAGGCAAGCACCTGAAAGCCATGCACCTGCCACCAGATTACCTGAGAATATAAGCAAGGTAGCTATTGTGGCTCTTGGCTGACCTGACGGTGCTCTCTAGGGAGACAGTGGATTCCCCCATCGTTGTGCGATACATGTTTGGCTCTTCTATATACGTATTGTTACAGTTCAGAGATCGCTGAAAGGGAAAAAAAAGACATAAAGCCACAGTGAATGATCCTTCCAGAAGCTCATGTTACCCACAAATGTATTAAGTTTCAAAGAACCAAATGGGTTTTGATGCCAGGGAAAAGAATTATTTTCTCTTGAAGGTTTCAATTAAAATAATAATAAAAACTTTTGAGAGAAGCCATCAGTAGTCTTTGTACAAGTCACTGAAAGCAATCATTCAGTTCACTTAATTACAGATAAGCCACCTATAAGTTTATTTTAGGTAACTTCTGCCAGCAAGAGGATGTTTTTGTTCTCCCAATGCTTTTTTTCTTACTGTTAACAATGTAGCTCTTGTTGCAGTGGAATCATCTGGAAGAGGTTTCTTTCCAGTTAAAGTGTTCTTCAAGTGCTTTCTCACTTCTTTGTTAAATACGCAGTGGAAGAAGAAAATGAACAGCCCCTGGATAATTTTAGAGAGAGGAAAATGTAAATGCTTCACTACTACCATATTGCAAATATAGATATTAGAGAACACCCATTTTGAAACAAGCCCTAAATTCTAGTTTGTAGTACATGACGGTGTATTTCAAAAGCAGTAACTATTTTCTTTCTTGACTGAAATGACATTGACTGATCACCTAGCACTTCTTCATAATTTGATTCCAAGTTCAAATGTGCATTAAAGGCCTGGGAAAATATATAAAAATATGCATTTCTCCAGAATTTACAGAGCAGAGCTTGATTTGGGAAGAAATCCAAAGGGAGCCTCAATGTCCCACTGGAAAATTGCAGAGATTTTAGAATTTGGGATTTTGGAGCTTTTACACAGATGATGAGAAAAAAAATCAACAGCAGCACATGGAAAATATTACAGCCTTTAGTGAAAGCCTCTGGAACTAGGCAACTTCTGTGAAAGGAGCCCTTAACAAACTTAACACTGAGTCTAAGAGAATTTTAGAAAGCCTTGTGAGATGTGAAGAGGTACTGGGAGCAGAGAGGTCCCAACTTCTGTCACCTAAGTTGCTTGGTGAAGCAATACCTCTGGTGGGAAAACCACTAAAGTCCCCAGGGCTGGGCAGTTATTGGCTGCCAGGAACACACATTAACAGCTTTTGCTGGGGGCAGGGCACACACACGTGTGTGCCTTCAGATGTTCTTGCTCTGAGGGAATTAATGCAGCCGCCAAATTGTTATCAACTTTGGTTGGACACACAGTATAGAAAAGTCAATACTCATGAAGTTGCAGCTGTACCAACATCATAAGAAGCCTGAATTTCATGATTTCAGCCAAAGCAATTGACTTAGAGTAACTTTAAACTTCAAGCTCACTTTCTTAACATTCAATCAAATGTGATCTTAGCTGGCACTAGCACTTTGGGATTATTCATTAATAAAATTCACATAAATGTCTCTTTAAAAACGTAAGTTCAAAGAAGGCACATACCACTGTGCCTCTCTGGGCAAGTTTGGAGAATTGCGGCTGCTGACCTTCGTCCTTTTCATCAGGTTTATGTTTAATTTAGTTTTATTTTAGATTTGTGGAAGCCTGGTTTTATAGCCTGAGTAGATGCATTTATTACAGAGCACACTAGTTGCAGTGGCAAAATAACCTTGCTCCAGGCTGACCTATCTTCTGTGCTTCCAGGGCACTGACAGCTGACTCCAAAGGGGACCCATCAAACTTTGTTTTCTCTGTGGCTGCAAGTTGTGCCTGTTGTGCTGCAGCTGAGTGTCCTGCAGTAGCTGTTTTAGTATTGCAGGCACCTGCTAGGGCAGTTACTGTCATCCTAGGTCACATTCAAATTGTGACCACATGAAGCTCTGTCACTACTTCCATGCCAGGTCTCCTACAAATAACTATTTTCTGTGTCTTTAATCAACAATTGTGTAAACTGGGACAGGCAACCCAGGAAACCCATAATACAACTCACATTGTATTTGAAACTCCTTATTTGTCTCATTTCTTTAAACAGTAACTTAATTTGTGGAAGCCTTGAACTTGGAGCCATTGACTCTGGGTGAAATATAAGAGTCTCTCATTTGCAATAGCAACAAGATGACTTAACAATGAGCACACAGAACACAGTAACAAAGAATTTGTCTCTAGAATGACAGAGGTATACCTGCCTACTGTCCACAGGTTACTATGGTAGTGCACTTACCTTGAGAATGACTAACAGTGAGAGACATAATTACTCAAAATTATAGTTTTGGTGAAAAGAACTCTCTCCTTGAGAAGAGAAAGTAAAAATTGCCTTGAGATCTCTGGTTTGCTTAAGTTAGCTCATGCTGAGCAGGTTTTTGGAGGCCTGGGTGTAGAAGTATACTCATCAAGGTCTACCACACACAAGATGCTACCCAACTTACCTGCAGGCAGCTGAAAATAGCAAAGAGATAGTGAAAGGTCATGACATCACTGTTGACTGCCATGAGCCCCAGCAGCCACGTGGCACTGATGAGCAGCAGGAGCAGGAATGCTGTCCTCAGCACAGGGCTGTAAAGCAAACACAGATGGACATTTGCAATGTGGTGGGATACAAGAGAACAGCCCAACTTCTCCCCATGGATGGTGGTATGTGCCCAACAATTTGGCAACTGGAAAAGCTCTTTGGGAAAATTAGGGCAGTGTTCACCAACTTCCAGTTTCCACAACTTTCCAACTCTCTCACAGCAACACTCTACAGCTTAGCATGTTCATGTTTAAAAAGGTGATGTATTTCCAAGTTCATTTCCAAGACTTTCTTCAAACAAATCTGACTGTTTTGCAAGCCTATGCTGTTCAGCCTTGATGACTCCGAGGAACATGTCTGGGCAGTAAATGGCCATGTCCATCTCATTTCAGTTTGTCACCTTCACTCTCACATTCCTTCCCAACGTTACTACTCAAGGTTTTGGATTGAGGGCATTCAGTGAAATTTTGTTTGCTTAAAAATACAATTTCCACAGACACTTTTCAAAAGACAGAAACAAATCCAGTGGCAAAAGTTTTATATTATGGGTAAAATTTCTGCCTTAGGTAGCAGTTATACTCCTTGGTTTAGGGAGATTTAGACCTCATCCTCAACACCCAGACACTACTGGGGTCAGGGTTTAGAGTGCACAAAGCCAATAGCTGCATGGAAACTGGGGCTGGAAAGGGCATGGCAAGGGGAGCATGGCACTGCACCAACATTGCTCCTTCTACACTGCTATTAACTGGGCCACCCATGTTGCCAGAGAACTCAGTCTCAGATTCTAGTTTTCATTAAGCTTAGTGTTAGGGTTAGGGTTCAGAGAACCACAAAGTCTAGCTCCAGGGACACCAGGGGTGGAAAAGCCATGCCAGTGTGTACACAGCACCCTACAGCCAGAGCTGAAAAACAAAAATGAAAGCAGCCATTTGAAATCTCATACAGCTACCTCATTGGAAAAAAAAAAAATCAAACCTAAGGGGCTGTACTGCTGCTAGCTAATCACATTCAAGTTCACAGGTAAATTCTGAGCTTTGGGCAAAACAGATGTTAATGAGAACAGGCTGTCACAACAGCTCAGGAAGGTGGCAGGCTGCAACTTGCAATGCTGCTCATCCCACTGAGCATGGGATGCAGGAAGGCTGCCCTCAGCAAGGGAATGTCAATGGGTCTCTGCCACGACACAGCTGGTAACCAGACACTTGAGAGGGGAAACCCTCCTGAGCCATGGACAAGCACAGGGAGAACCAGAATGATGGCATGTCCTGGACATGCCATGGGCAGAGGTGAAGTGACAGTGTAGAAGAGACTATAATGAAAGATCTGGAAGGACTGCAATGACACCACCTGGAGGACAGATCTTTCCCTTCTCCCTTCTCCTGCCCACGCTTGGTGGTGCAGAGCACCATGGTGGAAGTTTTACAGGATGTCCAAGGGAACGCCAAGAGAGGGTGGGGTGAAGCAGCTCCAAACGCCTCTACCAACATTCTACTCCAAAAAACCATTTTTATTTCCTGCTCCAAAACTTGATTTTAGGCAATTCTGGCTTTTATTATTTCTGGTCAGAACATCTACAGGTTTGTGAACTGAAACTTACACGACTCCTGTTTTTTCAAATGAACGTTGCCTTCGTCTGCATGATGCTTTCATTGCGAGTATAAAAATGACAGTGTTTATCTGAAAGACAAGTTGAAATAACAGCATGGATTCTTTCTGTACATTTGTTACAGCTTTATCTTCAATAACAATGCAATTTTTATCCTAAAATGATTTGTGTGCACCAAGAATATTTCTTGTTCAACTTACAGGTCCCTAAATTCCAAGATTCACCTTGTTTCAAGGCAACATAGTCAAAGACATCCTGGCACTTGAAACCCAGTAAGAAAACCCTATGCAAAGATGCTTGAGGGAAAGAATGGTTGTCCTTGTCCAAATCAGTGTCCACCTCAGCCCAGCACTTTGTTTCAGTTGGTCAAACCAGAATTTAGGAATATTTTTTCGCAGAGCATACAGTGATAATTACTCTGAATAAACCTCCAGTTTCCACTGATTCCATGTCAGCTGGGAGGTACTAGGTTGGTGGTGCATTTGTACTTATTCACTTGTAGTGAATATTAATGCTGAGAATTTGTCTCATCACTCACTTTCCAAAACCATGTAGAGTTTTACCACTGCCATTGTCCTGTTTCTAGGAATTTCTAACTTAAAATGCTATGGAGAAATTATGCAGCTTGTCCTGTTTCTGCTAGATCTGCCACTTCCTGGTACTGCTTGGGTCCACAGCCATTTTCTCCAGACCAACACACCATTACAGGCTCCTCCTTCCTCCCTTCTCTGCAGCTTTCATTTCTCTAGACTTAAGACTCCACTTGTTGGTCCTCCAGTGGGGGCTTTCCCATGTCTCTGATGGTTTGTGACCATAACCTACACTGCTTCCAGGTCTGCTTTTTGAGGCAAGGAGACCAGAACTTGCATTTGGCATTCAAGATAAGAATTAAACCATGACTATTTATCTTCTGGTGTTACTTTGATGGAGAAGCTGTAAGGAGAAGTTAAACAGCAGCCCATTCTTTTAAATTCCTGAAAGTGGAAATATTTAATATTCCTTTAGGACTTCTGGATGAAGTGACTTGTTATGGCTCATTTTGTTGATTTATTTACTAATCTCACAGACCAACCCTTCAAAAATGGAACAAAGCAAATGACAAATAGGTTTCTGGCCATACAGCCATTGCTCCACAAGCAATCTTTGTATGGGCAAGCAGCCCTCTGATTTCCAGGAGCTTAGCTCATGTCCTATCTGTTTAAGAAATAGATGCAAGCTAAAGTACATTTGCTTTAAATGTAAAAAACATGGTTGCTTTGCATGACTACTGTTTGACAAAACTTAGGAGAAAAGGTAGCAGTAAGGAAGAGACAGTTCTGCATGCCAACTCCCCCTACTTACAACAACAACCATTACAATGGGCCCAGCGAAACTCCAGATCAGGGTGTCATGAACAGACAGCCAGCAGAAATCAGGATTCCCATAGCCTTGTGGATCCAGACCAACAGCAAGCCCTGTGTCACAAAGTGGAGAAAAAGTAAATTAGAAAATTGCTGCCTATAGCCAAATGTAGTTTCAAATAAACAAAATTACCATGGCAAAATTTATTCAACAGGAAATTCTGTGAAGGCAAAAATTGAAATACAACTTCTGTAAATCAAAATCTTCATCCTGGTTACTTCATATCAAACAATACTCTGAGTTTTGCCAACTTGAACAAAGTTCAGCTACATAAAAATGACAAAAAATGCAAGTCCCAAATTAATTCTGTTTCAGCACAGTTTTATAGTCATTCTCATACAGTGTGAGCCTTGAGGGTGAGTGACATGTTGAGGAATTTCAATAAGCCTGTGCAGCAGAATGACATGAATCATAACTGAGGAGATGTCTATGCTATGAAAAAAAAAGTGCATTCTTAACTTGCTGTCACTAAAATAACATCAGAAACAAAGGAACCTGGGAACTTATGGGAGTTAAGTGCTTGAGCTCAGGTGAGATTCATTTTGAAGTGCCATCCCAGGTGCCTCATCCTGCTTTCAGCACTGTCTGAAATGGAGTTAATGCCCCAAGGCAATTGAGTTAAAACCACACCTTCTATTATTTTATTTTTCAAAACCTGGCCAATTCCAAGGGGGTCTCTGAGCCCAACATTCACCTGCTGATTTACAGTGCTGTCTGACTTGGTGATCTACACTTTGCTCATATGGTGATAGACTGGGATTTGCCTTTGGCCTGCAAAATCATGGAGTCATGGAATTGTTTAGGTTGGAAAAGACCTTTCACATAAGGTGTCCCCTGAGACTTCTTTTCTCTGGGCTAAACACCCTCAGTTCCCTCAGCTGCTCCTTATCAGACTTGTGTTCCAGACCCTTCACCAGCTCCTCTTGGACTTGCTCAGTGCCTCAATGTCTTCCTTGTAGTGAGGGCCCCAAAACTGAACTGGTTCACAGTGTGGCTTCACTAGTGCTGGTATAGAAGGATGATCACAACATCCTTTTAGTCCTCCTGAGTTGCCTGCTTTTTCCTCCATTTTTCCCTTGGCTCCAGCTAAAGCTCCCTCTTCATCCAGGCTGGCCTTCACCATTGGTTTGTCTTACACCACATGGGGAGCACGGCTTCTCCCGTGCCTTTAGGGCGTCCTGCTTGAGGAATCTTCAGCCTTCCTGGACTTGTTTGCCCTTCATGACTGCTTCCCAAGAGACTCTGTGAGTTAGGCCTCCAACAGACCTCTGCCTCCTCATCCTGGTTGGATGGTCTATAATAGACTCACCATGGTACCTGTCTTGTCCTTCCTGATGATTTTTACCCATAAACACTCAACTCTTTTTCACCAAAATCAAGCTCTAGACAGTCAAAATGCCCCCTAACAAAGGTAACCATTCCAATGGTTTCTAACACAGACACACCTGCATCTTTGCTGCCACATGGATCTCCAGCCCCAGCCTCCACTGAGATGGCAGATGGAAGGAGTCACTAGCATGCTGTCCCACAAACACTGGCATTCTGCCCTCAGTTGCCTCTAGTGAGCTTGGCTTTATCCCTTTCCCCCTTCAAACCTGGTTAAAGCTCTTTTAATGAGCCCTGTAATTCCTGTGCAAAGATCCTTTCCCCCCTTTGAGACAGGTGTACCCTGTCTGCAGAGATCTCCCCTCTCCAGGGCACAGAAAGTGATCCCTGTGGCCAGTGGCATATGGCAGGTGGCTGCAGCATGCTGTCTGGGCATGGGGGCACCCAGGGCCATGGGCATCTGTCCTGTCTCCAGAGGGGCCAAGGCTGCTGGCACTGCTGCTCTCTGCAAGGAGGGCTCGTGCATTTAGAGTCATCTTTTTCTGAATTGAAGCCTGCATGCTTTGATGAAAGGACACTGAGAAAGCGAAAGGTAGCTGCATTTCACTCTTGCTGCTTAGAACTGGCCCACAGCCAATATTCACATCTGGTACAGGCCTATGGTCTATGAAAACTAAACTGGCTATTTGGCAAAGCAGTGGATATTGGATCTGTTTTCACTGAAATGTGGAATGAGATAGGACCAGTCTCCCTTCCTGCTCCCATTGGCCCTTCCACCACCCCCTTCAGCAGTTGCCATCCAGAAAGAATTAGCCATAAATGATTAAGGGACCATAAAGTGTTTTATACAGATGTAATTCTATGGATACAGTCTGTTTCCCAGGACTGGATTTGCCCATTAATGGGACTCTGGCTCTATGAGTAATTGGCAGACAGCAACGTTTTTTCACTCTCAAAATCCTACACTGAAGTTCTCCATTAAACAAATGGGGCAAATTGCAGTCTTCAGGTACATGATTCAAATATTACTGCAGTCAACAACACGTGAAATAACACTTTACTCAAAGGCAGAATTAAGCCAATGCAATGTAATGCTGAGAAATATTTTGGCACATCAGTTAAATGCTGCAGCCTGGTTGCCCTTAACAGACCGAGTGTGCAAGCTGAGTGATACCTTGCTAACATTTGCAGGAACTGGGGCTGGTCCTATGGCCAAGAGTCCTGTGGAGACCAGCACCCATCCCCAGCACACACACAGGAGTGTGCCAAGGGCTGCAGGAGAAGCATGTTTTGACCCTTCAGAGCTCTTGAGGGCTCAGCAGCCATGTGTGTCTCAGGCAGCTGTGGGACAGCCTCAATTCTCTCTTGATTAATTGCTTTGCTTAGGATTCGAAAAGAGCCAGTTTCTGGGGGATATTGGTTTTAGGGCTCTGTAAGAACCTGTTTTAACACAAGGGCTGCACTCTCCATGCCAAAGCAGTCACTGCACACATATGTCAAGCAGTTAGTGTGCTGCCACAGAGACAGGCAGAACTGGGGGGGGTCTTGCTGATTGCCAAATTCAGCTCTTTGCTCCTGTGGCAAGGAAGTCATAAAATCCCTCTCCAAGATGGATCAAACTACACTTTAAAATGAGCAAGCTTAAAGCTGATTTAAAATGTTCCACTATCATTCCCAATGCAGGACTATTCCAGATCCACACTGTTTTGATGGCTGTAAGCTTTCTCACAACTTCTATCCTATTCTTATTCACGGCACTTTGCATTTCTCTGCTGTAATTAAATGTGGTTCTTCCCCATTGGAGTAAACATTTTACTAAGTTTTATCCCCCTCTAAAGGCCAAGGTTCCCATCTTCAAGGAGCTTGGTCCCATCACAAATGCCTTAGGACCACTATGTCCCAGTTCGAAATGAATATCAGTTTGAGCATAGAAAGTAGAAAAAATAATATACAAAAAGCCACTGCTACTGTAGTTTTGGAGGGGTTTTCCCCCTCTCAGGATAGTTATGATGAAGATGAAATGGTATTTGTCTTTAAAATAAAAAAGTCCTCTACATGTCCCAAGACTAAAATTTCTTCCCATATCTAGAGTATACCACAACTAAGAAAAATAAACAATCCTTCTCTCATAAACCAATTTAAATAATGTTTAGGATTCATGTTATGAAGTTGGAACCTTTTTGCTGTTTATAAATTAAAATTTATAAAGAAGCTTAATTAAAATATGTACAGTAACAAGTTGTCTAGAGGCAAGAAATCCTACATTGTGCTATTTATGATGAAACAATTTTCTCCTCAGATGATTTATAAGCCTGGAAGGGCAAAATGAAGGCTTAGTTTTCTTTATCTTTCATTTCACAAAATTCCCCGACTTTCTCAGTAATAGGGATCTGCCTTTTCATTTAAACAGAACTGCAAATTCAGTAGATTTGGGGATTGAATTGCAGGACACAACCTGGAAAGTTTCAAAAGTGTAAAATAGTTCCACATCACAGAGACTAGGTAGAAAAATGTAAAAATGGTATGCTTGTGATATTTAAATTGCATAATACTGCTGTTGAGAAGGTCTGAATTTAGATTTCAGGAGAGAAAGTAACCTTAAGCAGAAACTCCTTCCAACAAAATTCTTCTAAAGATAATGAGTTCTGAAATTTAATTAGTTTTGTTATTTAATGATACTTCTTTTCAGCTAGAAATGATGCTACCAAATATCTGATTGCACTTCAGTGTTCCTGAAAATACTGCAGTAGTCCTGTATGCACTGGTAGAAGTCACACAGGTCTGAAATGCTTCAGAAGTTCAAGGACAATTTCTATTTTAAGTGTCTGGGGTAGTCTAAAATGGCAGAGCCCTCTGGGCTCTGCTTTCTACTATAAACTGATAGAAGTAGAAATTATTAGGCACAAAATGTATGGAAAAACTTACCAGCTCCCTGAAGAGAGAGTTAACCTATACCAGTCTACCCTGTGATTTTCTATTACACCTTCTTAAAACACACAGAAAAAAGAACAAGTATGTATTTTTAAATCTAACTTGTTCCATAATATTTTTGCAAGTGTACATGAGTGATAGCTATTTGTTTGATCTAAGAGACATCTAAAGCTCTGATATTATCTGTAAAAATAAAACTAATTGGAAAAAAGTTAACTGCCTGCCTATGATGTGATTTCCCATATGGCAACAGATACATGCTGAAACAGTTGAACCAAAAATGCCCACTCCAACTGTTCCATGAAGCACAGTTCCTGAGGAGCTGTCTGCCTGAATTAACACAGCACCGTGTGCCTAGGGTAACACTGGAAATGTCTGTGGCAAAAATAGGCATGGTGAGGGCGGAGATGGATGTGTTCCAGTAGATCACTCCGGACTGGTTTAAAAGATTACTGCCTCCAGATTTTCATTACTTTTCCTCAGCTGAAAGTTACAGCCTTTGTATCTGAAATTAAGTAAAAGGCAGCTTTAGCATTCCAAGCTTGGTTTTATGCCAAATAAAACAGAGCCACTGAAATTCCCTTCAGAAGTATTTACTGCTGGTTGGCAGTAGGCAGTGGGAAGGTCCAGTGAAGGGCAGTAATGTCCTGTGGGCAGGCAGCATTGCTTCTGAAGCCACCACAGTTACCTCAGAGACCGTGTGTCCATATCTGGAGGTACCAGCACAGGGAAGGAAAATTTTGGAAAGCTATTGGCAAAGTTGTTCAAATAAAAATATTGTTATTCCCAAGCAATGTTACCAAGTCCTGGTCTAATCTGCGCAATTATGTTTCTGTTGCTGGACAACCATCAGTATCACTTCAGCTAAGGCAACAAACATTTGGTACACAGATCTGCCAAATTCAGGCTGACTTCTGCTGGACGTGGCTCGATGCTGCCCTGCTTCAGGAAAACTCCCATAGCTGTCTGGCATGGGGTAACTTCCCTGACCCTGGCCAGTGAAGATGGCAGGGAAACTAAAGCTTTTTTGGGGTGCTTGAGTGTACCTGTTATGATGGCAGGAATGCCCCAGCCAACAACGTAGTAGAACCGCATGTGCCCAAAGTTGATGTTCCTCACTTCAGTCAGCATCCGGTAGATGTGGAGCTGCTCCACAAACATCCAGGCAAAGGTGCTCATGTAGAAATAATGCAGGAGGATGGCAATCACAGTACACACAAACTGCAGAAGGGAAAGGGCAGGGAAATTAGAATTGCTCTTCTGAATCACAACCCAGTGAGTCACTCGTTCCCCCCGCGTAGCTAATGGCAAGTGTAATAAAAAGATTTTGGCAGAACAAATATACTGCCTTTAATTAAGTTTTTCAGAGTTTAAGAAGACCTGCTCATACCGTGAGAGATTTTGCTTTTTTAAAGTAAAGTGGATCACTAAGCTCTGTCAGGCTGAGAGCAGCAAAATTTAAGGACTGCTGAAACCAGAGACCAGGTCCACAGTGAGACTAAAAGTAACAGCTACAATGGGCACACTGGTGGCTGAAGTCATCTTTGTGATCAAATAGCCACCTTGAAACCTATGACCTTCAGATACTTGTCCTTCTGTAATATATGCTAACCAATTTTCTCTCCCAACTTAACAGTTTGATGAGTGAAAACAAGAATGACCACAAGCATCTGACACCTGAATTGCAGTCTTGCAATTAACCTTGTCCTTTCAGAAGCCAAACAAAGAATTTTGCCAAGGATCTGTTGATAAGCTTGAATTAAGAGAACTTTGTGGAACCATTCAGTTTTTGTTTGAAAATGTTTTACATTGTGTTTTGCAGCCTTTTGTTCCTGTGCAGCACTGACCCTGCTTTCAGACTTTGGCATGACTTTTTAGTGGTTTTTCATGGTGTAATGCTCAGATATGTACATTTCCCTGTTTAATGTACATTTAACCTCTTTGCTGAGCAAAAGAATCATACAAAGACTGCCAACTTTCTGGATTCACTTACTACATAAGCATTATTATAACATCACGTGTTATTGAAAATGTGGCTCACTAAATAAACCATCTTTCTTCCCTCTATGTAAGTAATGCTTTTCTTGTTCCTATTCTCACATGTTTATGAGTAGAGCGCTGCCCTGAACATTACCTTTTTCAGGTAAGAAAAAAGAAAGAAAATAAATCACTTTCTATCAATAGTCCAGGGAAAGATTAAAACCTCACCCAGAAATGTGACTGTTAATTTACAGAAACCCATAAAAGCCAGGCTGGGTGCCAAGCAGCACAGCATTATTTGTGCTCCAGCATTCTTTACCTCTTTATGTTCATCAGTGCATGACTCGTTAGACAACTCTCATTCCATACAGACAGATGAATAATTGTCTGAAGCAGACATGGCTTACAGCCCTCCTACCTTCTCAAATTGTCTGGGTAGGCTGTAAGGAGCAGCCTTATGCTGTATGAAATACATTCTATAAATTAAAGATCTTTGTAAATGGTTTAAAGGTTTGGGGTGTTTCACTGAGTCCTGGTAACCCTACAGGACATGATCACACCATGAGCCCCAAAACATGGAAATGAGATGGAGTAAAAGAGAACAATCTCACCAAGTACAACCATTAGGATTTGTGGTATTGATGTAATTGAACTGTTTTACTACTTTTATAAACCTCTGCTTGGTGCCTCATGATATATGAAATTAATCTGGAAATAAGGAGCCATCATTTATGGCATAATTTTTGGTAAAATTCTGTAGGGATGTGGACTTGGCCCCCAACTCCTCAGTAGATATGTTGGAGAACTAAAACTACCCCTTGCCAGTGAAATGCAGTGAAAAATGAGTGGTGTGCTCAGCAAGGCATGGGAAAGGTCAAGTTACACAGAGTGCTGTGTATCAATTGGCAAGGTGAGCTCCTTTCAGCAAAGTTATTTTAGTATGCAAACATTTATATAATGAAACAAAGACAACACAAGTTCACACATGACATGAGACCATATCCCAGAGGGCAGGTCACTGCAGAAGAGCTCACCACAGTAGCAGATAAAGGACCTGAGTTCCTGGTAAAGCGGAATATTGGTATGCAGAATTGGAAGTGATGCAACCAGCTGGAAAGCTTTATCCAGTTTGGCATTCACAATTTTTCAAAAGGTAAACTGGGAGAAGAAGGCCAGAAAAAACCCAACAGACTAACCTGGATCTTAGAAATTAAATAATTTCATCAGCTTAGTTTTATACAGTTTTCCAAAAGAAATACTATTAAATAGAGGTTTCCTGGCAAGACAATTTTTATAAGAGAGGTCTCTCAAATTTACTAGGAAAAGTTCTTGTCAGCACTCAGTTACTGGAAACTGAAATTAGTCAAGGTTAGATACTTTTAAAAATGCATGTTATAGCTCAAGTGGATATTAGAAGCCTGAGTGACAGTGTAGGATTAAGTTATACAGCAAATGAGGCTGTGTGTTTAGGCACCACGGTGTCTCTACCACGATGGTGATGATATTCACTGAATGTAGGCGTATTCTCCTATTTCTGCTGGTTGGATAATGTGAAATCAGCATGATTTTTTTATTGCTGTTGTTTTGTTTTGATCTCAACACTGTACTTCCCTCTCAAATATTAGATTGAAACATATACATTAATGAATTTCTAGAAGATAAATTTTCTTCACAGTGTTCAGATAATCCCTAAAGTAACATTTTGAATATTTTTCCTATCTATTAAGGACATACATTTTGTTGCATGTCATCCCTCATCTGTGTCCAGCCTGTTTGGCACAGGTGCCTGTGCAGCCTGGCAGTGCTGGAGCCCTTGTCTGTCTCTTACCTGTCTGAATGGCAGCCATGGCTTTTGGGATGGGTGCTACTAAGAACAGCAGCAAGACTACATATAATGCCACATGGTTAAGAGAGCAATGAGGTCTTAAGTACAGAACACACTTCATGTGTGGCTTATATCTATCTCATACTCAATCTATTCATAACTTGCATTTCTTGACATGCACAATGCTGGAGATCCTTGCACTAAGTTTTGTCAACAGGTATGATGGGCTGAAGCCAACAACCTCTGTGTCTGGAAGGCACAAAGCAAACTGACAGGTATCCTACTGAATCTTGGATGTAGCAAGCTGTCCCATGCTTGGTAAGTGGCTTCTCCAGAATGGCCAGTGGGTGCACAATGTGCTTATTAGCACCTGACCAGCACCACATCACCGACAACCTGTGAGTCTACACCAGGAGCCATTTGGGCTTGGGAGGTACCTGCTGCAGGAGAAACTGGAGAGCTTCCTACTGAACAGGCAAAGCAAGACAAAAAACACACTAATGGAAAGGAAGGAAGAAATTTAAGTTCAGTATTTAAGGTTCAGTTCCTGGGATAAACATTCAACAGGGCTGCTGTCATATATTCTCTGAAGATAAGATACAGTCCTATTGCCTGCCATTGCTATTAATGTTATCAACCACACATGAATACACTAAAAATCTGATGTTTTTCAAGTAAGTGTTGAAGCCAAAAAGAAGCCAAAAAGAGAAGAAAGTGAAACAGATGGGAGAAGGTAAAAGCTGCAATATGAACCCCCTGATTTAAAGCTTGAGAACAACTCTAGCAATGAACAAGAGTAAGTCTTACCGGGTTTTCAGTCTGGTTGATTCCAATAAGAAAGACAAGCTCAGAAAAGAAGAGGGCAGCCACCAGGTTTTTGTGGATACTGTGCAAGTTGGAGCGCAGTGTGCGGATCAGCACCAGCAAAATGAAGGTGATCAGCAAAGCCGCCAGCGAGATGGATACGGTTGTGTAAGTGACGATCTTCAGAGGAAGCACCTCCCCATTCTGTAGAAAGACAGATTGACAGGAACTCTGGGGGTTTTCCCTTCCTTTTCCTCCAATCAAATCTACTACTCAGGATGCCAATGTTTTCATTATACTGAGCCGACATAGAGATTTACTTAGGGACCAACAGGAGTGGGTGATGCCACCTCTTTAGCTGCTAAACATGTTGAGCATGTATGGGCAGCACCCAGAGGATGCACCAACCAAGTATGAAGGTCCTTTCAGCATACCCAGTGGCAGGTGCTGCCAGGCATAGGCAACACACTTCTAACACTGGGACTGATCTGCTGACAATGCCCTGGTGACACACAAAGCTCAAGCTCTGAGCCAAAGCCCTTGAAAACCAAAGTCTCCAAAAATCACGATCCGACATTACCCACCTCTCGTTTGGAAATGTCCATGAGGACAGCAAAGCTGGTTATATGGTTGCACTGGCAAGCAATATGGCTGTGGTTTCTGGAAAACAGCTCACACCCTCGGGAGGACCAGGCACCTGTCCCACCAATCCTGTGGGGAAAAAAGGCATTTCTGAGCACCATCCTCCAATCTCCCCTCACCTTCCGCTGCCCTCTGTGGCAGCTTGTGCTGCACAACCAGAGAGGACTGCAAGTACCAGGGCAGAATTATCTATAGCTGTTACCTGCCTGAAAGAGTATTATCAAAGTAAAAAGGCCTTCAGTTGAAGTAGTTTTTGATAAGACAGCTGGCCAGATTTTGTGGGTTTATAACAGTATGTTTTGAGTTTAAAAAAAATAAATTAAAATGTGCTTTTGGGTCAGTGACCACACAACCAATATGGGAAAGAGATTGCACTGAACAAAATGTCTGTAACTAAGGTAAATAATACCAGAACCGTAGCGGGACACATGGTTTTGAGTCATGTGAAATATGTTTCAGCAATAATATGATATCATTACACAGTTCCTCTGAAAAGTACACAAGAAAAGGTTAAAACCTTTTCTAATAAATATTTCATACCAGATCTGTTATATTAACAATAGGGAGGAACTGCTGCCTTAAAATTCTTCCCTGTGCAGTTATGGTTAAATCCAGTGACTTCAGAAATTATTTTGTATCAATATTAATTATTCCATTCTGAAGTTAATGAATAATAAAAATAGTCTTGCAGTTACTGAAAGATTTTTCAATTAAATATGACAAGACCTCTTTTTCACTCAGCAATAAAATATTTGTTAAATTTTAATATCACTTCCTCTCAAAAAGTACTCTCTTTCTAAAAGCTCTTTCATTATTACACGCCACGTAAGAGCTGCTTTTCAATTGTGGCCGTAGGAAGACGTAACACAGATAACAATGCCACTGAAGTTGCCAGCAAATAGCTAACACATGAATCACTTTAGAGCTAATGAGTTATTCAAGCTCAAACAATGTTTAAAAATTTATGAAAAAGGACTTGCCATTCCCTCACAATCAGCAGATTGACAGAGTGCATACAAGCAAAACCACTACTTCACATGTGGCCAAATGAAGAGTTTATTACTGTGAAGATAAGAGAATTCTGTTGCATCTTCGATCCTTTAAATGATATAATCTCCTGAAGCCTTAACTAGGAGGCACACATTCCCTAGGTTTGTTTGCTGTTTTATTTCCAGCACAGGATATTGCCTTTTAATGCATTTTTCCATAGGTTTACTAGAATTTTTGGTTTTTTAGGAAACAAGTAACAGCTATTCCTTTTGCCCTGGGCAGACCATGTCATCCTCTCACTGTGTACCTGGGTTTGTAGCTGGAAATTGCAATATATATGTAATACTTATGATATTGTGAAAGCATCATATGAATGTGGTTACCTCTCAAAACATTTTCTTTTGTTTTATCCACACTCTTGAAATATTTCCAACATGACTGTGCTGTTTCCACAATGCCATAAAACCAATGAAACATCAGCATATACAGTTCCAGCTCATATAATTTTTCTCATTTTCAAGAAAAAGATGTCTTTATCTTGAACTTTACTGAATACAAAAGAGCTAAATGAATGATTCTCAGAACATTTCATCTTTTTCCTAACACTTCCCTCCTAGAGAGTCAAATACTCTCTCATATTCTGCTTCTACATTACAATTGCTTTCCATAAACTGAAGAGGCCTAATGTCCCAAAAAAGGTATTTCCACTCCCTCCATTTGTTCACTAAAACAAATGAAAGCAAATTCACAATAGCTGGTGAAATGAAAGTTAAGTTTCTTACCAGTGCAACTGCCTTTGCGTTGACTTTTGAGTCAAAAATTTGTGATTCAGAAATTCATAATCTTTTCTCCCAGTTTTATCTGAGAAACCTCAGTCCCCATTTCCACTAAAATGAAGATTTGGTTTTGTAATTTTTTGCGCTGGCCCTGGCTAAGGCACCAAGGTTTGCTATTTACTCTGTCCATAGTCACGGGAGAAGATTCAGCCCATGGAAGAGCTGAATCATCTCCTGAAAACCCTGACTTAAAGACCTCAGGCAAGCCATGAATTCAGACACTGGAGTTGGACTATGTTTGTCCAGACATACATCCGTGGGCAAATAGCATGGACAAATACAAGGAAATTGTGGGATTTATTGTTTCTGGGTGAAAATGAACCCTGCAGAAAGACACGACAGCTCTGTGTTTCTTAGAAACCGCATGGCTAATCCTTTGTTTGAGGAGTTATGATAATTATTTTCCTTTTTCTCAGATTGGTGGGAAATGACTACATGGCTCTATTCCACCAAAAATCAGTTGTCAGTTGAACAGACAGACCAAGACAAGGTTTCCTGCAGAATTATCTTCCCAGGCAGGAGTTTTCTGCTACTCAGACAGTGTCACTCACAGCCCTAAAGCAAGCAGGAGACATACGTGATGGAGTGATTCCAGAAGACACAGACAGGCTTTGTTCTCTCCTCTGTTTCCAGCATGGCATACTCCACTATGACAGGCTTTTCCACCAGGTTGGGAGGAAACTCCCCATCACTGTGAATGGCTGTGCTCACTACAGGTGTGTTGATGATAGGGCGATTTGGCAATCTGCACAAGGAGAAAAATTGCACGGTGATCTACACATCAAAATGCAAAGCTACATTCTGCAAATAGAAGATCTCGTGTTGCTTCTGCTCAGAAAGTGAGGCAGATGTACCAACAGCCTTCCATACAGATGTGTTCCCAAAAACTGCTGGCACTTCTGGCATGGTTATTCTCCCACTGTGTGCCAGAGGAGGACATGAGGCAATACTGCAGTGAGAACAGCAGCACTGATGAATTTTGGCCAATATAAATGCAGCTCTGTCTCCCCCACACATTCAGAGAGCAGAAGAAGGGACCTGAACAATTCACAAACAGGTCTGGGGTTTACCTTAAGCTCCTTCTGTCAGGATCATAGTTTTCAGGCAGGAGGTGTCCCAGGGATCGGTATATAATGACCATGGCAACAGTGTGATGTGTCTCAGTGTCTGGGTGTCGCTTCTTTCTCTTTGCAAAAGCACTCTCAGGGCTGAACATTTCACTGTTCAACTTAGAGGGTATTTTCTGATTTGAAGGTTTCATTGTGGGCACTGCTATGGAACAAACACAAATATTAAATTCTTTGCACACAGCTTCAGAGCTACCATTTAAACTGGTAATTTTGCTTGCCAATAGTATTAGAGTTCTTATAACTCCAGGCTTAGAGCACTCAGCATGCTTCTAATGTTATACTTGATATTTTTAATAAAATTTCAGCACAATTCATAGTTATATAGCTGATAATCAAATAACCATTTTCACCATAACAGTGAAAAGTCATTTAGTCTAGCTATAAAATAAGCAATTTCTAAGCTAAAAGGTCCATAAGTATATAAGTATCCCATGCATAACTTAGGAGAACATTAAAACATTATGCATGCTGTTAAATTGCATGTACGTTTATATATGGCAAAAATAGTATTAATGAACCCACCAACTACTCACATGAGATTTCTCCCTGCTAATTCTGTCATTTAATGAGCTTTCTGTTTTGGAAGAGTCTCTTAAAATTCCCATTCTCTTTTGACTTACAGAAAAGATACAAATCATAGAAGCAGATACTCTGTTTCTAAGCAAAAAGTCATAAAGCTGTTCTAGCTTATTATCTATTATTTTCAGGAGAGTTACTATTTCCTCAATCAGAAGACATTCAACAATGGCACATCTATTGAATTTTGAGTTACCCTCTTTCCCTTTGCCCAAAAACCTTGTGGTGCTTTGCAGCAGTCTTGGGATACTTCAGAGACACTGGGAAGCAGGTACTCCCCAATGCATTCTCCCTGATCACCCCGGTCAAGACTTTTTCCTTGCTGCCTAGTTCTGATAACACCTCTCTGTGCTCCCAGATTTGGATTCTCTGTCTCTCACACCACCTCCCTCCATCTCTGCAGGGGCTGGAGGAAGGCAGCTGTGGGACTGCAGGCACTGGGCAGCCATCCCATCCCATCCCATCCCATCCCATCCCATCCTTGTGGGAACAGAGGCAGAGCATTTCTCCTGCTTTGACAGGGCTTTTGAGGGGCTGCAGGCGAGACCTGACAGACAGGTACAGCCAGTCCCACAGCCCCCCATGCCTCCATCACTGCCGGCAGGCAAAATGCCTCAGAAGTATGCACAGCTGCTCCATCCCTAAATAATGCTCACTTGTGCAGACAATCGCCCTGCTCTCACCCCAGTACCACTCTGCTCCCTGAGGATCCACCACACTCCTTGGGAGCTGCCCATAATTGCTCACCAAACAGCAGCAGAAGGGTTTTACCTTTCCTTTCTGAAGGTCTGAATAAAGTATCAGGGAAGACAACAGATGACTCCAGATCTTTTGGGTAATCTTCTTTAATCTCATGAAATCGTGGTATTCTAGCTCCCGTGAAATTAGACTTGTCAAAGATGTCAACAGCAATAACTGGGGGGGGATAAAAGTTTCCCATCACCACAGTGAAACATTACTGAAAGGTTAAAATGACTGCACAATACAGATAAAAAATTTAAGCCACAAAATAGAAAGTAAAACTTAATTTTTTTTTGTTAACACCTTATATAATAACTAAAAGTTTATGTGTCAGCATCATGTTACATTCATCAAATTATACATTTATTGTTCAGTGGAAAGGAATTCACAAAACAGTATCTCATACTATGAAAACATACTGGAAACTTTGGAAATAAAGAATGATAAAATTGTTTAGGTTGCAAAAGATCTCCAAGATCAAGTGGAAGTGTTAACTCAGCACTGCCAGGTCCGGCGCTAAACCATGGCCCCAAGGGTCACATCTACATGTCTTAAATACCTCCAGGCATGGTGACTTCCCTGGGCCACCTGTTTCAATTCCTGAGAATTGTTTCAGTGAAGAAATTTTTGCTAATACCCATCTTGAGGTAGATCACTTCACTGGTACTTCTCCAGCAGCTGACTTGGGTTTCAGAGGCTTTTCCCTGGCTGCTGCTCAGTGAATGCTCCTGCTTCACAGAGTTTCTCCATGTGCTGCTGGCTTGCTCCAGTGTGTGCTGCATGTTCAAATTTTAGACTTGCTTTTTAATGGGAAGATTAAATCTAGTGCTTCAAAACCATAGTTCTACATCTGTTGGATTGTGAAGTCAGCTGACAGAAGCAAATAACATGCATTTAATCTGGGACTACTCCTTAGTCCTCCACTGGCAGATCCTCCCTGGCTTACCTCATCATCTCTGCCTGTTAAACTGCCCAAATACTTAAAAGCAGTTGAGTTGGCTTTAACTTTCTCATTTAGGACACGTCACTGAGTGCCAATTTACATGTCCTGAGGGTAACCCTACACCAAAAGGTGTGATACTCTGCAAATTTCTGTATGAAGAAATATCCACGTTAAGACCCACAAATTCCTATTCCTTTCCTAGGTTCTAACTAACTCCCAGATGAGCCATTAGGAAACTCTATTAACACCATGTTCACCTGGAAAAACTGTTCAAAAGAAAACAGACCTCTTTCAGGCCAGAGTTGCCTCATCACTCTCAAGCTCGCACCTCCTTTACACAGGAAGAACTGGTTGAAAAAAAATCATGATTTACAACCTGCAAGAAATTCTGGGGTTTGTTTTCATCTCAGTTTAGTTGCATTAAAATCCTAAGTACATTTTTTTCTGAGTATGAAGATAAAAATATTTTGATTCTCATAGTCCTGAATCATAAGAAAGTATTTCAGTTTATTAAAGAAAAATCAAAGTGTTTCAGTTTGGCATAGTTCAACAATAATCTATGCCCCATTGATGCAGGATGCTACAGCCTTTGTAACTTGACTGCCTCATGCCTTTGATTTTCTGCCCCTGTGACTGTGGACATAAAGCATTCTTGGGACAAGGTTTGTAGCCAATTAAAATTCTTACTATAACAGCAGGTGTAGTTGGGAAAATAAGACCAACTTTTGGCACATAAACCTTCTTAATATCTGAAATAAAAGCAACAGCTTGAAAAGCTAAACACAAGTTCAGGCTTATATAGTTTAGAGCACCTCTGAAAGAAAAACCAAATAGCAATGCTGCTTGTGGGTGACTTCTGAAGGTCAGCTGGCCGCATCTCACCTCACACCCAGGGCAGGACTATCACCAACACCCCCTCAGCTCAGACTGCTTGTAGCTGGGAAGAAAATGAAATAGAGAGAGCAGGGGAGAAAATGGGGAAAGAAGCTGACCAGGCTGTGATTGCTGTGCTTCATCTGCATATGCACTGCAGAGATGTCTATGAAATACATCACAGTCCAAAGTGCAGGAGCTGCTATTTGTTTGTCAGAGGAGAAATTTCCTGTGATAGGTGAACAAGGTATGCCTGATGTTTCCTTCTCAATTTACACTCATTCTGGATCTTTTGAATCCCATAGATTTTGTTCTGATTGTGGGTTTTGCAAGACTAGGATGCTATTTGAAGGGCTGGTGATTCTGTGAAAATACCTTTCAGTACAAGAATCTCTACAGATGATGGTTTTCTGGATAGGTTCCAAGTTAGGAAAGCATGTGAAAATCAGAGGTATAATCACAGAATCAGCTAGGTTGGAAAAGACCTATAAGAGCATTGAGTCAAACCTTTGATAGATCATTAGCCTGTCAACTAGACCACAGCACTAAATGCCACATCCAATTGCTTCTTGAACATCTCCAGTGCTAGGAATTCCGTCACCTCCCTGGGCAGTCCCCACCTATGCAAGTAAGATCAATAATATGCAACAAAATCAACAGTAGGGTTACTTTTTTTTTTTTTTTTACTGCAGGTGGTGTTGGTGTGACTCCTCCAAAAACGAGATGTACTACATTCAACTATATTAGATGGTCTCAAAAGGCATTACTTTTATTTACAAACTTAGTCCTTCCTACTATCTCTACACTGCTATGACTGCAACAAAAGCCACATGGAGCAGTGGCATGGTCCAGAGGCAAAACAGATCAGAAACTTCCCAGGAGGCCCCCATGACAACTGAAAGATATGGATCAAGGCTTGATGGATTTGAAACAATGCAATGATTTTTCTCAGTAGGTACTACTGAAACAAATAACTAGCACCTCTGTCCAGCACATTTTTAAGAGTCAAAAAAGGGTTTTGATCAGTTTTCAACACAGATACTCACTCATGTTAGTAGCAACAATGACAAAGGGTCTCATGTAGGTTTTTTTCATGTTCTGGGCCACATTGTTGAAATATTCCTCATAGTGCCTGAGCAGGTGAGCGGTGCCACCCTCTGTTCGCTGAATTTGCTCCCAGTGCTCCTTGTTGCCAGGGTCCAGCAAAGCACTACCCACTTTGATAATATTCTGAGAAATAAAGTACAAGCCTAAATTATGAATCAAACACAGAGCTGGGTTTCAAGTGAGAAGTATTGAAAATTATTTGCCTGACTGCCTTAGGTAAGTGTATAATGAAATATTTAATGCAGGCATGTTCTACTGCAGCCATATAAAATACACACATCAGTTACTCACCCAGAGGTTTTTTGGTCATGTAAAGCAAATCCCTCTAAACTTTTTACAAGTAAAGTAAGCCAAAAATGGAGACTGTAAGAGAAGTGCCTACTTTCTTCCTCCTAATGACAAGAAATCGAGCAAGAAATGCAGGAGGAGAACCTATCCATGTTTTCTTTGTTTCTGAGAGATCAGACACATGAAAAGCACAGCTCTTAGCAGGTACACTGAAGAACTTCTCCAGATAAATCAAAATAATGCTTTTTTGTTAAAAAACAAAAGAAAGCCATGAATAGAAATATCACTTCCTCTTTTAATTTTTTTTTTGCTTTGTTTCCTGGATAATGAAGACAACTTAGACAGTGAAGAATGCTAAGAGTGAATATTAACTTGCATAGACAAAGTTGAAAATACATAAGAAAGCTTAGATCATGTCATTGTCTCCCCATTTTTACATTGCTTACAAATGGTATTAAAAAGGCATTTCTTTCTGAGGACCTGACTCTTCTGCCCTTTCTTGGAAAAATATGCAAAGGGACCCTCAGGGTGAATGGAAGGAGATTGACCCCAAAAGAGTGTGCTAAATGGCTTAAGTGAGAAAAAAGCTAAAAAGTTTTTAATCTTGGTGTACATATGAACTATGTTGTTGTAACAAAACCTAATTCCTAACAAAGGTAAAATTGGCGTAAATGGCAGTAAGAATTAATCACCACAAGCTCTAAAATAGCCAAGACAAATATTTAGGCTTCATTTAGAAGGAGCTGTCTGTATCCTGTCTGTACTGTTTGAGGCTGCAAGCACGTATCTGAGCTGAAAGAACTCCCAATATGACCACCTTTACCTAGGGTGAGAAGCACAACATGGATCCCAGGAATGCAGGAGACACATACTGTACTTGGTACCAGGCCTCCTCCGTGTTTGTGAACATTATTTATGGTTTTTTATTATCTATTTTTCAGGCTTCTATGTAGGATTATGAAAAAAAAAATTCCTTCCCCCCTTGTGGTTCCTCAGCCTAGGATGTTGCCTCCTTTTATTCATGAGCTGTACTCATTAGTTTTCAAATTCCTGACCTATCCTAAAATATTTAGGGAGTTCATGAAAACATCATCTGTATGAATTTCAGTGCCAAGTGCAGAGAACAATAAATTAAAGCATATGTTTCCAAACCTTTTGTTTTTTTTTGCTTATTGTTCATATTTCTACTTAACAAAACATGCTAGAAATGAAGCTCCTTTTCAAGATCTGAATGGCCTGCTTCACACACCACAGGAAAGAAAAAACTGAATCTCTTAAAATTTGGTGCATCTAAAACATAAAATGTTTCAGAAGTTCTCCACTCTCTGCTGATTATACAGCCCAAGACACTAAGGAATTTTCTCAGCTGCATTTCTTCCTGCTCCTAACTCTCCAGTGACATCCTCTCCTGGTGCATCTTGGCTTTGCAGAGGCTTTCTAATTTCATCCCCGGTCTGCCTGACCTGTCTGATCGTCCTGGAGTACTGTGAGCAGTGATGTGGGTGTAGCACACATTCTCAGGGAGCCAAACAGATCTTTGGCCAGCACAGACACCAGTCTTGACCCATGGAGGGTCATTCCACATGCTGGTGCCCAAGCTCTGGGCTCTGCTAGCACAGATCCAAACAGATGTTTTAGCTTGGACTCTGTGTTGTGCCATGGCCAGGATCTTGGTGATAGTATGGGCAAGAGTGGAGAACAGTATCCCCTGTACACATGGGACTCAGGAAAGCTCTACAAGCCTGACATGGGTCATCCAGCCTTCACATTATCACATCACAGAATACTCCCAACTGCCTTCAAATTTCACATTTTTCCACCACAACTACATATTTTACCAGACAGAGAGGATGCTACAGCTTGTTCTCTAGCCCTGGTCAGGTCTTTGGTAATAACTGTGACTTTCATCAATGCTCTGAGTAGCAGAAGCTCTCTGGCACACATTTTAGTATGTGCCTTAAAATACCAATGATATGGCATGTCTTTCAATGTACCAACTCATGACTGAATTAGAGGAAACCTTCAGAGTAAGTAACTGGCTCAGACTTAATTCGCTGCACATTTAAATGAGCATGATCACATCAGACATGTTTTACAACAAAAATAAATACAGTACACAAAACTATTTTAGCCAGGAAAAACACATTAATGTGATGATTTCTTTTCATATGGGGAATATTTCTTTTGGCTGTTACTATGATGATATTTTTTAGAAAAGCACATTCTATTATATTTGTATTACACATACACATGCATGCATAGACACATGCATAACCAACTTCCCATTCTAATCTGAGAAGAAAGGCTTATTTGTGGAACAGATTAGTCAATTACACAATATTAGCTTCACCTTGGTCAAAGACAAATTTAATTACCCACTGCCACCTAATTTTTAAGGGAAGTTGTAAGGGCTCAGCACAGTGTACAGTATTTCTCTTACCTCATTGAATTCCACATCCCTTGTGGCTGCCAAGTCAAACCCTTGCTGCTGGCTCTCGTACTGGAGGACGCGGATCATGATCTGGTAAGCTGTCCTCACATCGTTGCCATACAAGCTGTGTGTATATTTGGTGGCATTCTGCAGCGCTCTCACGATCCGTATGGTTTTATCTCCATCCAACCTGGTCTCATTGTGGTGTAACTTCTCATTCTGAATCAGATAAAAAGGAAGAAAAAAATCCAATTACACATGTATTTTTTTCATTCTAGTTACAAAGACAATCACAATTTTTGGCACACGGGAATTGTTTGGTCAAAATTTTGTTTGTCTTGAGAAAGAGTTGGCAACAAAACTCAATGGCAGATGTAACTGAGAGTCAGAAAAGCACCAGGGTCCTGATGGAAAATGAGGCCGTTCAAGGTTGCAGTCAAAAGACTGAGTGCAGGGATATCAAACTGGAGTCCAAACTGGTCATTATTCACAAAATAAAGGGAAAATTGAGAAAACCCAGCTTACCATGATTTTTAGATCCACAAAAGTGTTGGTGGTGCAGTTGAAAAGCTCAGGAGGCAGCCAGCCCTTCTCAATGTTACAATGGCGAACGGCGTTTCCTGAGGGAAACAAAGCATCTAGTGGCAAACAATGTTCTGAATTGTGCAGGGTAAATATTCATAGATTTCAACTATCCTAGACTTTCAGATTTCCTACATTTTGAAGTTGCTCAAAGCTACACATATATTTCAATTTCCAAACAGGGGATTCCTGCGAGAGAAAAGTTAAAGACTACTAATCTTGAGGAATTGCTTTTGCCAGCCTTTGGAGAAAAGTCAGCTAAACTCCAAGCTCTGCCCAACTGCTCTCAGCCTCACTGCCTGATTATTCTAAAATTAATTAATTCATTTCTTTATGCCAAAAAAGAGAAGGACTCTGCACTTCCTAAGTACTTCTGAAAACCAACCCCTGCTGAGATTTCTGTGCAATAGCCTATATAGGAAGACTTCCTGGACAAATGCTGTACTTACATCAACACATGCCCACACATCTGCATGTGCTAAACACTTCAACCAACATGCATAATTGCCTTTTTGCCCTTGTAAATGGACTGTGAGCAGCTTACTGTTTCATTTAGCCTATTATATTTTGTACTATTTGTCAAATAATTTTAAAATGCAATTCTTGGCTGAGGATCCTTCACCATGAATTGCAAGTAATCTAATTCAAAATTGACATTTGTGCTAGTTAATTTGCACATAACATACTGCATATGTCTAAGCCATTTAATTACCAATATCTAAATAAGAACTATATTTAATTTTACTGGATCTAATTATATTATTTCTCTTCCATTATTAGGTGAATACAATTAAGCCTCAGGTTCTTAGTCTGAATATTCATTATTATAAGGCTTACTTTGAATAATTTGTAAAATTTACTTAGAGCGTGCAATTACAATAAGCAACATCGCCTAGAAGAGACGCTTGGGTGAACCACTTCAAGAACACTGCAGAAAACTCATGTTAATTCAGCTTCATACTGCTTAATCATGAAAATATTCTTCACCTAAAAAAAAATTCTATCTCCTAAAGTCTTTAGGACAGGAGCTAGGTTGACCACAAATCTTCTGCACACTTATAAGCAGTGGCCTCCTCCTAGAAATATTTGGGGCAGTCACATAACTATTTATAACTCTCTGAGCCTAAGGAACACTGACAGCAGAGTTACCACGTCCAGAACCAAGACAGAGTTTTCACTTCCCACAGAACAGCCTTTGGAAAAGATAGGGAACTCTATTTTCAAAAATCTGATACATATTTTCAGAGACATATATGAAAAAATTGTCATTTGCCTGTTGTACAAAACAACATAGCTCATCTGCTTTATAAAAGATGTTTTTCAGCTGTTTTGCTTATGGAAAAGATATTGTGTGGAAAAATGCAAGTTTTGTTGCAACTCTTAGCTTTAGTAGGCTGCAATCCTAGTAAAGCAGTCATCAGGAATATGATTTTCCTAATTTTATCTTTGCCCAGAGGAACTGTATGGCAAAAGAACACTTATAAGTCACTAGAAACTGAAAGTTACATGTGTAAGAATTGCTTGATAAATAGAAAATAGGGCTCTGATTTTTTGAAAATAGAGAATTTTTGTGCTTTTTACATGTTTATCTGCTGTACTGCTGCATTTATTTATTGCTAGTATTCCAAATGTATTTGATTTCAGCTAGCTATACTCTTCTGCTTATGATATATAAGTTATGCTGCAGACTCTAGACCCAATGAATTAATGCTATTCCCTATGTACACTTAAAAAAAAAAAAAAATGCATGCAGATAAAGTAGGTAATTATTTACCCAGGGAACTTACCCACTGAGCCCTTAGGACAAGGCACAGCAGCTGGCTGGCCAAACTTGGTCTGTGGCCACCAAATACCAGCCTCAAAAGCTTTGGGACAGCCATTATAAATTACTGAAAGCAGAAAAAGAAATGATGCAATTTTTCTAACAAGATAAAAATTGTAACAGTGAGACATTTCAACCTGCCTGAAGGACCTTCCTGTAATTCCAAAGCCCTGTCAGATACCTGTCCTCTGCAGTGCCTTCCAAGCTGTAACCCACCAGCTGCTCCTTATCCAACAGATTGGACAGACAGGTACAGGCAGAGGAGAGCTCGGGATGATTATGGGGCTCTGGATTTTGGCTCTGCCTATCTCTGCTTGCTCCTTTATTGTGGGAAAACATTTCTCCTTTATTTTGCCCACACACTGCTGTTGCAGCAGCTTTGTGCTTATCACAGGAGGACAGTGGGTGGGTGGGTGGGTGAGAGGAAAGGCAGGATGGGCAAGGTGGGGAAGGAAGGCAGAGTGCACGAGGCACACGGCACGGTGCCTCTGTGGGCAAAAGGCATGAGGCCTCTCACCAGCCTCTTCAGCTGCAGCTCAGCAATACAACACTGCACTGGCAGATGAACTCTGGTTTAAAGAAAAGCCGCTGCTAGTCTTTTGCTCCCCCTACTCCACCTCAGCTGGCTCTATTTCCATGTGAGAAAAATTAAAGAGATAAGAGCTTTTTTTCCATTCCCTCAGCCCCCACGAGTCACACTGGCACATATCTAGGAGGAGGGGTGGATGTTCAGGCTGCTGCAGCCCCCATTGCCCCCGCTGCTGGAGCCATGCTGCTGGGCCCAGGAGTGTCCCCGCAGTGTCCCCATCTGCGCGCTGCCAGTGGCTCTGGTCCCACACGGCAGCGTGGCCGGGCAGCATGGCTGGGCCGCAGGGCTGGGCCGCAGGGCCGGGCAGCGTGGCTGGGCAGCGTGGCTGGGCCGCAGGGCCAGGCAGCGTGGCTGGGCTGAGGTACCTTCACAGCCCCTCACGGTGACCTCTGCAAAGGGGTTGTCGCAGCGGTTGCACTGGCGCCCGATGACGCCGGGCTTGCAGGGACACTGTCCCGTCTCCATGTCGCAGGCGCGCGTGTGGGAGCCAGATGGGAAGCAGTCGCAGGGGTAGCAGGTGTCACTGCTTTGGGGCCTGTAGTAATTGGCCTAGAAAAACCAAAATGAGAGACATGAGGTGTTTGACTTCCAAACTGCCCACATTTCTGAAACCTGCTCTAACAGCTTGTACATCATAAAAGGGCTCATTTAGCAGAGCACAGATAAATTTATGTTACTATTATCAGAGACCCAGGGTTTGAATTGCCATTTGCAGCAGAGCCACAGGGCCCATATCACTCCTTGGGCACTTGCAACAAGTGCCCACCAAACATATTCTTGGAGGATTTACAGTTTTCTCAGCTTTGCAATTCTTCTCTTGTATGGCATGAAAGAGCCACTAAGGAAACTTCCTGCACTGTGCATTTGTGTTTCACGTAGAGGGTGGAGAGCACGCAATGATCCCAAATTCAAATCACCTCTGTACATGTATTTGATCTGAGGCATTAGGATTGCACAAGAGCGTGGAGCTGGCACCCCACTGACTCCATTTCATGCAACAGTTGCTGTGTGTCCTGCTGGCATTTCAGAAAGGAGCAGGGGGCCAGATTCACAGCCGCCAGTCTGTACAAGCCCAGCTCCTCTGATGTCATTCAAGCCAGTTTAAAACCTATTGTGAGAAGTCCTTTGTAAAACCTTCATGACGAGGTGCCTCCCCTCCCATGTCCCCCATCTGTCCCTGCCTGTCCAGAGATGAGGAAAGCATTTAGCCCTGCAGCTCTCTCCAGCTGCCAGGCCTCTTGCTGGCCATAGCAGAGGGGCAAGCTTCGGCCAGCTGGCCCGAGCTGTTTCATGGCCATTACTCACTTGTGATGCACAAAACCCCACTGACACTCCTCTGCACCCTGGCCTGATCTCCCGTGATAAACCAGGCTGCACTTCAGAGATCAGAGCCAGGCTTTCATCCTCTCAGCTCGCTTTTCCAAACACAAATAAGATAAGAGCTGTACAGTATGATTTGGAGAAGGGTGGTGCCAGCAAAATGTTTTGGGTAATGATTAACTCCACTGTGCACATACATATATATGTGATACAAAGCACAACTGTGTGTACTTTGTATCAGATACTCACTTGTAATTATAAGTGGTACAGTTTCTTTTTAAATTAAAATTTTGACTTAAGACTGGTTTCTTTTGCTTACCTTGCAGTGGCACTCTCCATTGGTCTTATTGCAATCAGAATCAAACCCTTTACTAGTCTCACAATTACATGGGCCACAGATGGGATTTCCCCACCAACCTCTGGGACAAGGTAGGTCGATCCTATTAAAGAAAATCAAATTGAAAAAAAGTTATTTTAAGTTCCCTCTTTAAAAGGGTGAAAATAAAGCTTTGGACCAAATCTGCACTCAACTGCATCAGCTTACAGACAGTAATGTATCTCAAACAACAATCAATACATATATAAATATAAATACACTATGATATGGGAAAACTTAGAATATCAGTGCTATGAAAACCTAGAGGGAATGCTTCTCTAAGTATTTTCAAGTGCAGGTGGCTCTGAGCCGGTGCCCTGGTTTATCTACTACCATAAACTGCCTTGGGGTACAGCTCCCCAACACTTTATGTCCCACTCCCCATCCCCATCCTGCCCCAGCCCACAGGGACACCAGTTCAGGTGCAAAGCTCTCTCCAAGTTCATCCTATAAAGAAAAGCCACTACTTTCAACCAACCTGGCTTTCTTGGACTGTTCACTACAAGGTCTGAAAAGCCCTGCTCTGCCTGAGGAGAGACAGGGGACCCATGGCTGGAGACATGGAAGAGGGGAGGGTGGCAGCTTTGATCTGGACTGTGGATCAAAGACTATGATTCAGACTGAGTGCAGCAGCACTGGAAGCTAAGCAGCAAGCCAAAGGCCACCCCTGCTGAAGGAAAACCCCATTCCCACTGGGACTATTTCATCTGGGGAGCCTCCGAGATGGTTATCCCACAGATGCCCCAACACTAGTTCTGGCAAGGAGAGCTCTGATTCTCTGATAGCTGGGAGTGTTTGTCAAGCAATAGCCTGAAGGACAAGGGCTTTGAGACTGGGATCCTGGAAATGCACAAGGTATCCCCTCCCTGGTGCTCATTTTTAGGAAAGAAAAACTATTTCCATCTGTTTTGAAGACCAATTTTATTTATGGTAATTGGTAGGTATTTACTTCTAAGCTTTAGAATATGAAAACCACAATGTTGCACTTGACACATGTCAGCAGATAATGACAAGGGACAATGTCTCTGTGTCCCTAATCCAGAGGAATGAAAGACAAATCTCGAAACAGCATGGCCAACATTTGCAAGCCCACACTACAAAAGGCAGAGGAAGAAGCTTGCAGTTTTCAAAGGGAAAGAAACATCACATGAGCCATTCCTAAACAGGCAGACAAATGCACTTCATTTGCACATCATGAATGGCCCATATTACAGTAAATCAAAGTGCCGCCTTTGGGATAAGGCTGGTTGCTGAATGCTTATCAGAGACCAGGAAGCTGCTGACGAGGGAATCAGCACGTTTCTCCCACAAAGCAACAGACACAGGCCCCAGACTGTCCAGAAGAGATGGCTCTTTGCCAGCTCAGGGACTGGACCTACACTGCCAAGAGACTTTATCTTGCTAGAGGCCACCGAACTGGTGCATCGCTCTGTGTGCTGGGGAAGCTGGAGGAGAGATGCAGAGCAAAGTCAGGCCAAGCCCACCACAAAGTACAGGTGAGATGCAGTGCTGTGCAACACAGCAGAACTGATTGAGCCCCTGAGCAGCTGATGAAGCAAATTGGCTCCTGAATAACATGTCTAGTTTCTGAGAAGAGTTCAGGAATGCCAAAAGGCAACAGAGCCTAAAATACCACTCAAATTGTAACAGGAAAGTTTATCAGGGCAGAACAGGAAGTGGGAGGACTGATGCCCTAGGTGAAGAGCTTCCTGGCAGGATCAAGAAACCAAGAACAAAATAATTCTCTTACTTGCTTTCACAGTACTGTCCGTAGTAGCTTTGTCCACACTCACAGGTGTAGCCATGGGATGAGCTAGGTTTGTGCACGCATGTGGAGACATGCTCACATGGGTTCAAGTTGCATACATCAACACAGTCTCTCCCAAAGTACCCTGGGGAGACAAGGTAAGAAAATTACAGCAACCATTGTAATTTATGATTTGCATGTCTCCAAAAGACTGTCTGTCTTAAGCTTATACACTAATAACCCATCTTTGATAATCAGTAGATTCCCCCTGAGATACTGTCAGAAATGAAACACTCCTTTCCCTCTCAAACAAAATGATAGTAAGCCATTCTTTTTGACAGTCTGTTACCATGCTTGAGGCACCTTTGTGCCTTTGGTTCCCAGCTTTATATTTGGAGCATGTGCTACAAATAGCTTTGTATTCTCTTGCTGCATGTATGGGAGGTGACTGTGCTGGGTGCTGACAGCATGTGCTGGCTACATGCTCCAAAACAGAGAAAACATCCAAAGTATCTTGATTAGGATGCAGAGTGAGAGACTGAAATTCAACAGCAGAAAAGGCTGAGAAAGAAAGAAAAAAAAAAAAAACATTAAAAGAAAAGGGGAGGTGCACAGGAGTTTTTTGGACCAGAGACTGTCTTTCCATTTGGTGGATACATTGCCTGGATTCTCAGCCCAGGAGTGCAGCTTCCAGGGTGCTAGAGTAAGAGTGAGAAGGGTAATACTGACTGGAAGAGGAAGAATCAGAAGATGAACACTTTGCCAGCACGCTGCTGCTGCTGTGCTGCTTCTGATGAGCTCATGGAGGTGTGATCCAGCTCCTGTATGAGAGGCCAGCAGGTTACCTGGGTCACAGACACAGGAGTAGCTGTCCCAGTCGTCACTGCAGTAGCTGTGCTGGGGACATGGGTTGGAATCACAAGGGTTATCCACTTCACAGCCCTCCCTCACGTTGATCTTGATAGCCTGTTTCATGTTCAGTGTCGCTATGTTTGTAGATGTCTCTCCCATTCTTACTCCCTGGTGACAAAAGACAATTATTTTAAAATTAGTCTCCTTTCAGAGTACATTATTATATTTATTATTTTCATCAATCAACAAGGCTACATTTTAAAGAAATCACCTGATGAGCCAAACCCAGATTTTTTTGTCAAATATTTTTCCCCTATGTGATATGATTTGTACCTGGCAAAGTGGGCAGACTTTAATATTTTGATTCTTAAATAATTTTTATGGAGGAAACAGAAATGTTTCAGGGTGGATGAAAAAGAAACCTCCCACATTTTCACCTGGGCATTTTCTCATGAGTTCAAAATTTATTGCTACACTTTTAATTTCATACCTGCATACATCCATAAAATCCCTGCTGAACAGAGACTTGGTCTCCAGAGACACCTCCCACAATGATGCTTTTCATTTTCAATCCAGGTAGTTGATTTCCAATCTGCACAGTGCTCTGTGAGGAAAACAACAGCTGATAAGAAGCACTATCAGAGTTGTGATAGAGTCAAGCAGTAGCTGACAGATTACATAAAAAATACCAAAGCAGTGAGGAGCCAGACATTGGAATGTGTCTTTTTATGACTTCTTTGTAAGATATATTATCATAAAGTTTAATAAATTAATATAATTGATTAGGCATAAATCACTGCAGAACATGTCTCACAGCATAAGTACTTGTCCACAGTCCTCTATCCTATTTTCTCCTAAAAGCATTTGTGCAGTGCTCAGTGGCAAAGCTTCTACGCTGCCTTACCTGGTACATCCCATAGTCCAAGGACATGACAGCAAGGTACTTGAGATCTTTACCATCTTTTGCACTCTTCAGCTCTACTAATAAATGATGCCATTCCCCATCACTGACCCGTGACTGGCTCATCTTCAAACTAGCAACCTGGCTCAGGCCACTGTACACTTCAAACTGCACATAGTTGTTCAGTATCTGTTGGGGAAAAAAAAACCAACCATGTCTTTTTTTGCTACATATTTGTACTTGATGCAGAAGGAGGTGGAGGGCAAGATAATAACATTTCCTAAGAAAACCCAAAAGGAAAAAAAGCTCAAAGAGTAAAGATGGGAATGCTTGCAAGAACTCCTTGTATAATTTTGGACATTCAGACTCCAGCTTCCCTTATGGGCAAAAAACCCCCAAAGGAATAGATCCATTTTTTACATCTATATTAATGCCCACTACTACCTCTGACTAGAAAAATAATCTTAAATTAATATGGTTTTTATAATGATATTTTGATCATTCACTTTTTGATCATTGTAAAAGGCTAAAGTAATGATATGTTTTTATTGACATGCATTTAGCTAGGTGGATGGAGCTGTGTAGTTCATCTGGCCATATCCACTGCTGGGGGAGTATTAATTCTTTTCTAGGCAAAGGCAGCCACACTTTACCTGAATGTTGATCTTGGATGCAGCCCCAGCATTGGCTTGCATTAACATGCCATTGACTTTCCTGGTTCTGAACATCAGCCCAATGTACCACGGTACGGAGATGGTGATGTCAAGGTCACTCCAAATGATAATGCTCTCACCACTGAAACGCTGAGGAGAAGGCATTGCTGTGAATCAAAATACACAAGAGAAATGGTTTTTATCATTCAGGACAAATGTGAAGAGGAAAAATGATGCTATTTCACAGGGAGCTAGTCCCTCTTCCACTGAGCTACGTTCAATCTACCATGGATGAAGAGCTGGTCTAGGGGAGCTACTGTGAAAGAGTTGATAATACTGCAAATTCATAACCTACCCTGGTTGTGGGTAGGCATCTTGGTGCCTGTACTCAAAAGCAGCACCTCCACACTACTATGGCATTACCCACATGGGAGCTGTTCCTAGAAAGGGAAGCTCAGGATCTCTGCTGATATAGTTCTGCTGGTGAGTGGGTGGACAGAGCAGGAAGTATGAGGGCAACAGTTGCTTCAGATGTTTTCAACACAACCTTGATTACCTGCTTCTAATTAACAGATTAAACACAGGAAAAGGCTGGGAGGCAACAGGAAATATGAATTAATTGTGAATACTCCAGAGCCAGATTATTCAGCTGCCCCAGCTACACAGTCTTTTCACAGGGAGAAAGTTTGAGTGGAATTGCCTAAATCACCTGCCTTAAATATTCTGAGGTGACAGCTGCAAAATTGCCCTTCTCTCTAACCTTGCACAAGCACAGCTCCTACAGCTCCTTCTATTGAAGGCTCCTACAGCCTTCAATAGAAAAGCACTTTGCTGATGGAAAATAGAGGAACACCCATCCCCTTGGACTTCTTTGTTGTTACCCTGGGTAATAGGAGCTACAGTCCCATGGATGAGTTGATCCCACTGATTAGGAGTACAGATTAAGCCATGGGAGATCTGTGCTATTTGCAACACCTCATATGACACCTCCACCATGTGTGGAACCTTGTAGGAGATCTACAGTCAGCCCCTTCCTGACATGCTTGCTTGTGGGCATGTTGGTGAAGTTCATGGCAGCTTTTTGCCAGTAGAAGCAGGTCTTAGAGCCTGGGTACAACCACCACAGATTAGCACCCAGCCTTTTATTTCATCATGTGCTGAGTGCATGTCGGTCAGGGAAATCACAGGGCTTAACAGTCTTTCCCCTTCTGCTCCACACTACCATATCTGCTGACACTTTCTGGATTTTTTGTAGTAGATCATGTATATAAAAATGCATATGTGTTACTATATACTATGTGCATATGTGTAAGTTCTTAGAAGAAGGTTGAGGGATGACACCACACCAGAAAATGGGGGATAGTTGATGTGAAGTTGCATTTTTTTGAGGAATAAAGCCAAACCCCAAATTCTTGTATGTCTGCCTTGCTGGTGTCTACAAAGAGAAAGACTGGGGTGAGGAGTGGAGTGCAGGGTTGGAGTAAAGTGCAAGCCCTTTAGTTCCCTATTGCAAGCCCTTTAGCTCCCTATTTGTGAGAAAGAAAAAGTCAGAGACTACTGGGCTACCACTAGTCAAGCCAGAGGTGGAACTTGACTTGCCCTTCCTTAAGATGTGGTTACCCAGCCACCCCACACCAGGCTAAGGGCAGGCAGGCTAAAGGGCAGCCCTCCTCCCTCCTGCTCCAGCCTGTGATCTCACCTTTGCCAGAGAGGGCATATGGTGGAACAACTGCAGCATAGCCTGCTCTTGAAAACCAGATGGCAACTTTAAAAAATGTTGTCACCAGATACAGATGTCTCAGGTTGCTTAAAAGTTGAATGCAGTACTTGAATTCTGGCTATCTGGGCCAGGGCACAATTCTGGGCCAGGGCACAATTCATCAGCCCACACTGCACCACATCAATGTAAAAGCATATATCAATGTAAAAGTAGCCAGGACATCAGTGTTGAGCAGGATTATTTTCTCTTACTCCACCTATGCAAAAGTCAGCCTTTGCCTTCCTCCTCTGCCCTGCTGACCTTCACAATAACCTCAGCTTCCAACTGTGCTGCTGGTTTTCTGGGCTGTTGCTGAGGTTTTTGAGCCCATCTGCCTCTGGAGTGCAGAGGCAGGATGCAAAGTTGTGGGCTTCCCACCTGCTGAAGGCTGGGAATGCTGTGTGCAAGCATTTTGCCTTTGCTCCTGGGAGAACTGGACTGGCATGGCAATTAGCCACCTTCTTCCTTTTCTCACTGGTGGTGACTTTCTGTGCTTGCAAATACCATTCCCTTCCCACACCTTCTCCCAAACTCCCTCCCTTCCCTGGGGCCAGGGTGCACCTTTCCCTGCTAGTTAAATAGAAATCTCCATTTGTCAGTCCCCTCTGACCTCCCTCTTCCCCCCAGCCCTTCCTCATGCCTGGGACCAGGAGTGTCCATGGAGGGGGTGGCACATCCACTGTCCTCAGATGGGACCTGACCTCCCCTGTCACCACAGAGGCCCACATGATTCCCAGCACCCTCTGCCATGGGCAGTGCAGTGATACAAACTGATCCTGTGCTCAGAGTTTGCCACTTGAAGCACTGCCTGTGCATCTATGATCACTCTAAAGAGTCCTGTGCTCAACAGGCCGGCAGAAACACCTGAGGGCCATTCCCTGTGGAGACAGAGGGCCTGGGGAAACATCCCACTGGATGTCACCTGCAGTGTGGGAAACATGCTACCAACATCCCACTGGATGTCACCTGCAGTGTGGGAAACATACTACCAACATGCCACTGGATGTCACCTGCAGTGTGGGTGCTGGACATGTGGAAGCTTATGTTTAGGTCCAGCCCAAGGCTAGTGCAATGACACTGGCCATCCAAGTGTGAGTCAGACACAGCTGCTAGATCTTCTTCACAAAATTGCAACACCTAATAGTTTAAAAGAATTAAATTACAATAAAGGGGAAAATAATTTTCCTTGATTTTATCTCCTTTCTATATATCAGAAGAGGGAGAGGGGAACTGCCAGAAGGTGAATTAACAGATTCTAGGAGGGTGGTGAAGGTAAAACATCCCATCCTCACTAGTGTAGACCAGATCCCAGAGGTTTTGAAGAGCAGGAAATGAAAAAAAGGTTAATTGGTAACTTGCCAAAGTCTTTGTCATCTGTTAGCCTGAAGCAGAACCAGCACTGCCATAGGGATTAAAGAAATGCAGCACTCCTACTCAAAACTGCAAATATTCTATTGAAGAGTTTAAAAAAAATATCTGCCTAATAATAGCTAATGCTCTTAGGATCATAGCTGAGCATTCAAATAAGAAATTTGAAAGACAGGAGAATAGCATATCCGTGACTGACTCTATCTCCTGACTTTAACTTTGGGCTCCTGAAATCTTTGGTCACATTGTGTTTCTTTCTTGGCTTGCAATTTTTCCACAGGGACACTGGCCTACAAATACCATTAAAGAACCAAGCAGCCTGCTGCCTTCAAACTGTCAAAAAAACCCCACAAAGTGAGGCATCAGCAAGAACATGGGGTTTTTCATTAACAAAGGGGACATGCAGGAATGTACAGTGCTGGAGGCAGAGGTGACAGCTGGGACTGGGGGAGGCAGTGCTGCTGTGGCTGCCATCATCTCTTTCACCTGAATTAAAAATGAGTTTCCAGGGATGGCTACAGGGCAGCTCCCAGATTATAATCTAAATCCCAAACTTCATGGATTGGTCTTGAGTTTGGGATAAGAAAATAGTAAATAAAACAAACATTTGATCAAAATTTGAATTTCCATTTGAAAAACAGAGGCAAGGAGAGTCTTTGCATGTGACAGCAGTACTCCCATTTACACCAGTACAGGACACACCATAGCTGGGCCCCTGGCACTCCCTTCAGGATACATCAGAGTGGGTTTGTAGCACATTGAACAGCCAGTCATGAGGAAAACACAAGAACTTCACCAACAAACATTCTTGATATGAGACAAATGGAAAAATGAGACCTTCATACAAAACTGGGAAGCTCAAAATATTTGAGGAACTGCTACAGAAAGCAGGTACCAGGCTAGGGGCAATAATAACAGCTCTGGGCTCTGTGTGAGGTGGAGCATAGGAAGAGGTCTCCATCATTCCTTTTCCCTGCTCTTCACTCTGCAAACCTTTATCTCCAAGACAGAAACTTAACCCTGTGTCCTTTCCTCTTAAGCTAATATTGCTGCTTCTCAGGAAAGGGAAGAGAAATTGCTACTACCTAGACCAGTACCACTACCTAGACCAGTACCACTACCTAGACCAGTACCACTACCTAGACCTGGCCCAGTAGAAGCATGTTGTCTTTGCTGGAAGCATCCAGGAAGACTCCAAAGGAGCAGCCACCTTACAGCACCAACTCCATGGGTTGGTCCTCCACAGGCAACTCTTCATTTCTAGGGGAAAAAACTGACTGCATGTTCTTCACACCCTATAAAACTCACCTGCTGCTCCTTCCTTATCCTTTAGTAATGAGGTTTTACACATATATGCACACTGTGCTCAATCAAAGAGAAATCCAGTAAAACCGAAAGTGCTCTTACTTTGCACAGAATGCCTTCTTGCCAAAAAAGTAGTGATTAAAACAGCACATTCATCCCCAGTTTGAGTCAAAGCCAGTAAAGTCAGCAGGATTCTTTCCACTGATTTAAAGGGGCTTAGGATCAGGCATTTTTATTATAAACAAATTACTAAATACAGCCAAGTTCTTTGGAACTACTTTGCTTATGTAAGTAAATCAATGAAAGCTGCTCTTATTCATGACAGTATGTCATTTACTATAGAGGGGATCTCTAAAATGATTTCAAATAGATAATGGGTGACAGTGTCAGCTGCAATCTTCTGTTACCCTCAATCATCACAGCTGGACATAGGTGCTATGGGATGGCAATGACAGCAGTGACATGGGCACACATGACAAGCACAGAGAGCTCTGTGCAGCCTACCTTGCTCACAGTTCTTGCCTCCGTAGCGCACGGGGCACTCACAGATGTACGTGTTCCACTTGTTGATGCACGTGCCTCCATTCTGGCACCAGTTGGTTTCACAATAGTTCCTCTGAGCTGCACAGCCTGCAATTCAGGAAAACCATTGCTTTGTATGGTTTCAATACAAAAAAGGCTCTGAATGACTGTATTTGAGTTTTTACATAAAAAGAAGACATGACTACTATAGGTTTTTTTTTTAAATGTTTTTGAGGTCAGTGAAGCAAAATGTGTATGGCAAAAGTTTATGTAAGCTGATCATGTGTTAAATGCACAAAGATAAGTCTGTCTATCAAAGGCATATGCTATGACTCTCTCCTTAATCCACAATCAATGCAACGTACTTTAGAACTGCAATTTAGCTCTTACACAGACCTTCAGCAGCATGGACAGAAGGGACTTTCCATTTTTGTGTGTAAGAGCCAGTTTTTAGGATGATGAGAACATTTTGTATGCCTAATCACCGGAACTAATCCTGATCAGGGATCCAGGGACTGGAAATCAAATCAGAACTTCCAGCAGGCTGCTCCATGAAGCAGGTTTCATATTTGGGGAATTGCAGAATTTTATTTACAGAACAAACACAATTTATTAAAAAGTCATTGTAAGTGCTGTCTTTTTTGTGAACTAATCCCACTGGCTTTCACAGCAAAATGACATTTAATATGTAGTTTAAAAATAGAGGAGGAGAAGTCAATTTAGGAGTAAATTCCTGGCTGAAACTCCCAGCAATGCAGAAAGGCTAAACAAGCCCAGTCCTTTCTGATGTGCTGCTGAATCCTGGAAGTGTGCCCTGTGCCACGGCCTATTGTATGCCTCCCTGGCACAGGTGTGGACTGCACATTACTCAAACAATGAGGTCTGGCCAGAGACACAGTGGCAGCACAATGCCATACACCACCTGAAGTCCCTGCCCCATAGCTGCTTTGCCCTCAATAGTGCTAACAGGGGGACAGGGGACATTTCAGAACCCTGTGGCCCTTCCCCTTCTGGGGGTTCCTTGCAGTGCCAGCCTCGCCATGCTAAGCCATGTCCCACATGCAGGTGTGGCAGAGACCTTTGTGGTGCTGACCCTTGGGGCACTGGTTGCCCATACCTGGCAGAGTGCCGTTATTGGCAATGAAACCAGCCATGTCGATGGGCTTGCTGTCGATGGAGAGGTTCCTCATGCAGCCAATGAACTGCCTGTTGTGCACCGGGAAATCCTCAGGCAAGTTTGGGACACCACCAAGGAGGAGAGGGCCAGTCAGGTCCAAAGATCTGAAGAAACAAAGAAATGCTCATAATTACTTGCAAGGAGTTTGTTTTGTTTTGTTCTTTATCTTCTTATCTTTATATTTTGTTCTTTATCTTACTGCTTCCATAAGCACATTTAAGCTGTACTTCCCTCTGCTACATGAGCACTTCCAGAGCTTGTTATCAAATGACTGTCCAGTAACACTAACTTTTAACTTAGGAGCTGTCATGTCCATATAGAATCCAGTGACCTGTCCCTAAAAGTTGCTAATATGCAGAAGAATACGAAAATTAGAGAAAAATGTGTAGCCACAGGACACTTCTTTCTGACCCCAGTCATGCAAGGACTAGCTGATGCCACTCAGCACAAGGTTGAGAAGCAGTACATTTTTATATAATGACTTAATTATCATATAGTGCCAACCCTTTTAAAGTCCTCTGAGGATCTTAGTCTTAATGACATTTAGTGGATGTAGGTTCTACTAAATGACTCCACACTGTGTGAGAAGTGTTATCATCTGGTCATTTGGATTAGCCCCAGTTTTTATAGTGTGCCCCTCTCTGGGGATATTAGAGCACCATGTGTCTCTCAATGGTCTCTCTGCCATCACTCATTACTTTATATCCCCCTATGTTGCTTGCTGTTCACCTCCTCTTTAAGCTCAAAAGTACTAATTTTTGTTTTTCTTTCTTCACAGGAAACCTTTTCTCATAACCAGTGATTTTCAATGGTTGTTTGTTTACATCCTTTATTCCTACCTCTTTTTTAGACAGGACTCTTAACTTAAATGGTGGAAGCAATTCCATATCCCAAATGAAACTTTGTTACTTTTTGTTGTTATGTCACGTCTGTTTTTCCAACTTACTGATTAATCACTTAGTGCTCAGTGGTTAATTGCAAGCTGTTGAATCTCCACTGGAAAAAGAGAATGAGTGGAAAACACAAATACAGGGAATCCTTACTTTTTGGAGCCAGTCTGAGTGCCCTGGGCAGCACAGGTGTAGTTCCCAATGAGGCTCCCGAAGCGCACGGCCACTGCCGTGTCACAGTCGTCCACAGTCACCACAGCCACCTTCTCTCCAGAGGGCCCATGGGGAATTCCTAATCGGCCAATGTTTGGCTTCAAAAAGGAAATGGAACATGTCATACAGTGTTGCATACAGGTGGGATTTAAATGCTGGTTCAGTCAGCTCAACAACACACTTCTTACTACCCCCCAAAGAGGACAAAAATAGAAGATGTAAATCAAACAGCAGAAGTTGGGTTATCCCATGATATTTAGGCAAGGAAAAGCCCTGATGGATGACTTCAGTCAGAGTCCACACATGCCCAGTATGATACACAGGGTGGTCAGAAGTGGCTTTGGTCTTTTCCACAGCTGAACCACTTTGGTCCAAATCACATCAAACAGGTGTTTTCCCACTTCTGCATAGTAAATTCTAATAAATTATGCTCATTTTGCACCTCTTCAAGGAAATGAAAACCCTAAAATGATGTATTATTGCAACTGAAGCTTAAATTAAAGGCTTAAATCACATTTTCTCTGATGGCTGCACTCTGTCCAGGCTACCAGAAACTGAGTTCAGGCCTCTATAAAGCTGTAGTGAGGGGTTGTCTGATGACTGGAGGGAACTTAGATGAAACCTGCTTGTTCCAGCTACAAGATGGAGTGCATGAAAAACCACTGCCCATTGCTGGGTCAGCTGAGAAGCCTCCAGTTTCTAGTTACAGGAGAATAGAGACCAATGACCTGTGGAGCTGGACAATCAAAAATAATAGATGTATCTGTGCTTGCTCTTGTTCAGGCACACAGATGCAGGTGCAGCATGGAAGATGTGGCTTAGAGCAGCAATAAAAGCTCTGGCTTTTCCTCACCTCTGCTTCTCCCAGGCAGTAGGAAACTCCTGCCCACCCAGTCACAATGTGTCCTGGTGAACATGAGACACAAAGCTAGAATTATCACACTCAGCTTCACACCTCCACTGTTACTGGCTCACTCTGCCCATCACGTGCTGTCACTTGGTGTTCTCCCCACTTCAGCACCTACTGAGTGGGGAAATTCAGTGATCCCAACAGACAGGCTTTCCTATGGGACCACCAGGAATTCAATACCAGTCATCAAATTTCTGTGCTTCCACCACAAACAGATCCTTCATCATCTTCACTAATTTTGTCACTGATTAGATGCATTCTGAGTGACTGACAGGAGATGATGTTTTCTGTGTGGAAACTCAAGAGACAGATTTGTCCAGTGGAGAAGTACATTATGACTTAAAAAAGGTGCATGTGCAAACAGAATCATAGCAACCTCAGTGAAGAACTAGCAAATCCTGTAAGAAAACTGTTTCCATGTTTAATGTTCATATAGAGCTGAGGGATCTTAATCTACCACACGTGCAAGATCTCTGAGGGCATTATGGGCACAAGAGAAGCACTGAGCTGAACTCTACTGGCTTTGCAAAGGGACACCCCACAGGAATGAAACCAGCAGGATCTGACCAGATGCACTGGTCCAAAACATATTTAAGTCCAAAGTCCAAACATATTTAGTGGATGTGTTAATCAACAGGAGCTGCATCCATATGAAAATGAAGATGGCTGGGCATCTGTAGCTTGCTGTACGCTTGCTTTAAAACATGTGCTGCATGACTGCATTCTGAAATTCCTTATTTGTACAGCAAACAAGGAAGCAGTAAGGGGATAAATAAATTCTTTCTGTTTCACTTACAGACACATAAATTTGTTAACATACTTACAGCCACTTTCATCATCTGTATAGAGACATTTATTTTAAGGTTAAGTATCCCAATATATAAAAAACATTTTTAAAACATGTTTCCTGGTGTCAATTTCAGTTGGAAAGTATTTTCCATTTCCTCTACCAAGAACTAATGTGATCACATAGTTTGGCAGTTACTCAGTATAAGGTTTTGACCTCTCTTTAGTGATATTAAGGCAGACTTTATTTTTTCCGATACTCCCTGGACTTTGCCACTGCCTAGCTTGGAAAGACAGGAAACACACGTATTTGAAGTGCTGAAAATGTTATTGTATGCAATGATGGCAATGTTAGTGAGCAGCTTTTCAAAGTAAATTTAAAAATACATGGAAAACTAACCAACTGACAGGGAAGCCTTCCCTTCCAAAATTAAAATGTTTACGTTCTGGGTGCTACTTCTATTCATTCAGAGGAATGATTCGATTAACATTTATGTTCTTGTGCTTCACTGAAATAATCTATTGTTTCTTACATGGAAGCCTTGACAAAGGCAGGGTATTTATTCCCTCAGCAGGGGGGATCTGCCCAATGTTAATCATGATTGCAACCTGATGAGACTCAGCACTTTGCAGCTGCTCCTTCACAGTCACTAGCTGCAGTAACAAATTGATTTTTTTTTTACTTTTATATAACACAGAAACTGAAAAGTGTTTCTCTAGATGTTGACTGTTCATTGCAGTACAGATCTCTGGCATCTCTTGGGCTCTGATGACCACACAGAACCATGAAGAAAGGGAATATTGCAGTGAATGAGAAGAAATCTATTGGCAGTTCAAACCATGCTTAGTTCAAACACAAGGTAATTTTCTGACCATGTTAAAAGTCTCATTTGACAGAATTTGACAGGTTTTTTCCCAAAATGCAAGAATATGTTACTGGGAAAGGAAAGAGATATTTTCAGACTGAATTAATGGGGCAAGATCTCAAAATATGTGTCAAGTAATACACACTATTCATCTTCTCAACAGCTAACACAGGGAATAGTTTATAATTGAAATAATGGGAAATAAATAAAAGACTTTGTCAGAGAAAGCCCAAGTTAAGAGCTCTTTCAGTGATTAATCATGGAACAGATTTTAATCATTAAATACTTTGATTAATGTTAAATATAGATTACTGGTGATGTAAAGGATATTTAGAGTATCATGCATTTAAATAGTTAAATATCATGTATTTGAATAGTTGCATGCAAGAAAGAGAATTAATCCCACAACATGAAACTTGGGATCTGATGATTCAATTTTCGGACTCCTAGATGAATTCCTATTGCAGGCTCTGAAACTCTTAGCACTAAATGATGAAAAATAATTAAAAAACCTTACTAATTAACTACAAAACAATGAGGAACCATGGTGAGATTGAAAGGTTAAAAAGGCAATACAACACTGGGCTGTTGCACAGATGCGTATGAGGAAACTTTCATAACACTGAACAGGATGGAATGTTTGGGCAGTTTTGTTTCCATTTACTTAAAATACCTTCCAATTACAGCAGGTGCACAGAACAGCAGCCAGAGCAAGTTTACCATATCAAACAGGCAAAATGGACTTGGCATGTTTAGCCTAGCAAAGTAAAGGCTAGAGAAGAGTTTTGGAAACAAGATGCCATCACTGCAATGCACACAGTTTAAGAATAAAGGGGTATAAGATGCCCATGAATAATGTAGGCTGGTAATCACCAGGGGATGCTCAGCCATAGGAGGGATCATTGTTGGGAAAGTAGCAGGGCTGAAAATGATTTAAAAAAACTTTATTTGTTTATGATTATAGAAGTCCATTTTAGCAGAGGACTGGCCTATGTTTGAAAGAAAATGAGTGACAGTGAGTAGTACTTGGAAAAGGCAACAGAAAGTGAATTGCCAACACTACATGACAGCACACACATTCACATTTCAAGCATGATCTTTGCCTCAATGAAATCCTACTGGAGCAAGACTGATCCCTAACAGTAGGAACAGCTAACACTAACCAGCATTAATTCATACTATTATTTTCTGGAAATATGTTCAAGGAGTTAAAAGCCAGACTTTCATCTGGGTACTTAGCAGTCCTTTCTGCCTGTCAGACCCATCTCCTGAAATACATGCTACCCGAAAGGCAAGTTTCATTAGCTGTGCCAATTCTGCACTCATGAGTAAATGTGCAATGTGGTGTACAGGAATTTACCAGCATGACCCCCATTAATAGTAATGCAAGTCATGTAACTGAGTTCCTGCTCATGGAGCTGAAAATTTACCTTTCGCTGCCTAACCCTAAAGGCTGCCTTTTCAGTTAGTGCTTCTCCAGAAAGAAGCTGGGATTCAAATTTCAAAGACCACATGCTGTAACACTGAGTAGCAAGAAGAGGTACCAAACAGTGCCAGAGAGAAAACCTGGTCTCCCTTAAACAAACTATGAAAGAAGTGCATTATTCCGGGCCTCAAATGAAAGGAAGAAAAAGCAGCCCTGAGTGTTGCAGTGTTTTATCACTATCACATGATGATTCTTCAAACATTCTGTGCATCCCATAATGAAATTCATTTTGTTTGTTACACTGACTCTTATGTTTTTATGTTATAGTCACATATAGGGTCACCTGGAGAAAAGAAATAGTCCTGTCTTAGGATCAATATGGGGCAGCACAAGTCCCCTACCTTTTTCTTCATCTGTAAACCAAGATTAACCATATTTATGTTCCTCAAAAGATGGAAATTAGTACCTAAAACTGTAAACAATGAAATGAAACTTAAATTTGCCTCACTGAGCTTTCATGAAGATCACTTGTTCTGATCTATAAGTGACAATCTCCCATCTCATGTCTAACCCATGATATTCACCTTTGCCCAGAGAGTCACAGGCAAAATGTGACTACAGGAATGGCAGCCTCCTAGGATGTATTTTGAAAACTGCAGCTCCCCTTCTGTCCATAGCAGAGGTTACAGTGAGACTCATCTACTGTCTCAGCAGTGACCTGGAGGAGTGACCTCCTTGAGCCACAACAGGGTGTGGAACTCCCTTTGATCACCTGTAGTGACTTTCTCAGGTTGCAGTGACAGAACACCACTTGGAGGTATTTTCCAAGTGATGCCAAATCTGATTTTTGTGAAACTCAGTTACAGGGCAATGTTTGGACTTCTCCCCATAAATTCAACAGTAAGAAGGACATGTAGCTTCTCCCAGGTGAAAAACCCTGAGAAGCTTAATCTGTGAACTTGTGTTTTACAAGTGGAGACCAGACAGAGGAGAGAAAGTCATCAAAACACATCTGTTTATAGTTTGCAAATCTACTGCACAAATCCACTGTGATTACACTTAGAACATCAGAGGTGGATATTCTGATGTGGCTCAGTTTCGTTTGGGTTC